ATTCATTCTGTTCACCATTTAATACAGTGTAAGAAAAACATTCATTCCGTCTACAGATCTGCCCTGAAAGCAGCTAAAATTGATCTCTTGGTTTGAGTTATCTCTTGGGATATGAAACTCCTATTTTTGGAAGCTTTTAAAGAACATATGTGGTTTCCAGAGAAGTGCTTGCAGCAAGTGTGGAGAAAAATTCAAATCTCTGAGATTAAAAACCCAGTATGATAATGGTTATTGAAACTATATCTGAATGCTGTTTATAAATGAAGATAGGCTTTAGCATGACTGGGAGGTTTTCCATTTTAGGTTTGAGTTTCTTTGAAAAATAAGTTTTGTGGAAGTATGCACAAATAAATTATTGCCAAACATTCACAAGCATAGGCAAGAACTGAGGGTGGAATTTGTTTTATTGTGTAGATTACCTGAAAACTTTGTTTTTATAGATTAGTGAGTAGATTTCTATAACTGTCTTTGAGAACACCTTGAGCCAGATGCTTTGAGTTCGGTAACTTCCAGATGATATGTTAACTCTGGTTCACCAAGGCTTCATTCAGTGGTCACTTAAGTAGCCATCTTTCTAAGTAGCCCTGCCTTTATGAGAAAGCAAATTCATTTCTTAATGAACTAGCTGATAGCGTAGGAATCAGTGAGCAGTGACATTTGATTTCTCCGAATGGAAAAATCCTAAGCACTATATTTTAGACTCTCCAACATTCTTCACTAAAATATTTTAAAATTAGTCTCTTAAAATGTATTACTTTAAATGTGATTACACTGTGTTTAACAAATTGCCCTTTGAACAAAGTCTCTTAAAACAGTACTTGGGCTTACCACTTCGCTATGTCTATTGTTAATTTCAGAAAGACACCAGACTTAATTTCAGAAGGACTGGTTTGACTCTCGATCTCACTATAAATTAAGTGTGTAACTTTGGGCAAATTTATCTGTATCAGCTTTATTTGTTTCATTTGAATATGGAGGTGAGACTAATTCTCAGGGTTATTATGATGTCAAATGAGATAATGTATATGAAAGCCCTTTAACATGAATCGATCTATAAATATAATGAACATGATGACACTGTGCCTCGTTTAATTGACATTTAATCCAGTTAAGATAATCACTGTTCAGTAACACTGTCTCTAAATGCTGTCTAGCTACTATGCTTTAAATGTTTTTTGATGAATATTATGGGTGTCTTCTTGCTGAAGCACAGATTTTGTGTTCTAGTAGTGGGTGATAATAGGCAACACTTAAATAGTGCTAACTGTGCACCCACACAGCTCCCAGGATTCACCATATTAACCCACGTAATCCCCGCAATAACTCTGGGAGGCAGGTGCTGTTATTACCGCTGGTGTAAAATTGGTGACACTGGGGCACAGGGAGATGAACTTGTTCAAAATTATAGTCAGTGTTATCAGTCAAATTAATTTTTCCCACACCTTTAATTCAGTTCTTTAGGAAAGAATTTGGCAACAAGCAATGTACTGTGATAAAGGATATCATGAACAGTACTTGGGTCTTGGATATGGGGAATGTTGCCTCTTTTTGGAAAAATGACGCTGCCTGCACATATGTTGGGATGGCACAAAGAGTGTATCTTATTTTCCTTTGTGTTTTTCTTTTTAATCTTTAGTGCATATTATTGGATTGATTCGTGTTTATTTACTGGGATTACTTCTCTCTCCCGAGCCCAAGGCACAGTCACAGGAAGCCAACCTTATCGGAGAACTCTGTTCATCTCGGTCCCGTGCTATGAGTGAAGCAATTGAAAGAGCCCCAAACCCCATCTGAAGAGATATCCAGAGCTCATATACCCTTCAGCTTTTTCTTTAGATTTAGATTTTGTTTGAATTAGGTTCGTATACTGTACTTAGTCATTTTTGATTTAGGCATTTCCCATTCATTTAAACTAATTTTTTCATAAATTTAACCAGTTTTTTAACTTTATTTTTATTGTTGACACTATAACATGTCTCTATTTTCCCCTCTTAGCCCACCTCCACCCAGTCCTCATCTTCCCTTCCCTCTGGCCATCAGTACACTGTTGTCTGTGTCTATGGGTTGTGCATATGCGGGGAGAACCCCCAAAAGCCAGAATTATCCTCTGGACAGTAGACCCCTTATACTGTAGGCTTCCCCCTGCTAGGTGAGTGTTTTAGGAACCCATCTGTATCTGTGTACCAGCTGGCATTGTTGTGAGAGGCTGTGTTTGGCTTCAGTGAATTTTTTGAAGACTCTTGATGCATTTGTCCATTTCATGATGGGTGATTTCCGAGTATACCTTCCCATACTGCTCTGAGGGCTCAGCAGTTTTTGACCCAAAATGCATGGCCCTCATGCCCCACCCTCTCTATTCACCCAGTCTCACCCGAGCGACTTTTTTTTTTTTAATTTCCTTGATGAAAAAAGTCCTTAAAGGGAAATGTTTTGCCCACGTGAAAGAGGTGAAACAAAAAACAGCAGAAGCACTAAAAGGCATCAAAATTGATGAAGTCAAAAACTGTTTTGAGCAGTGGAAAAAAGTTTCAGTGGGTGTATTGCATCAAATTGAGAGTACTTTGAAGGTGACTGAAGTTTAAACTTGTAAGAATAAATACACAATTTTGTATAAATAAATTCCTGGTTTTCTTGGTCCTCCTCCCCATATATAACCAGTTTTGTCAAAGGTCTTTTATGTGTCAGGGATGCTGTGAGGAGTAAATGGTGCCTATGACAGTACATACTATCTGCTTGTTGAGCTTAGAGACTAGAGGGAGAAGAAAGACAATAAGCAAATGATCTCATGGATGGAAGTAACACACTGCTCTGAATAGTGTGACAACGGAGAGGAGCACGGTGGCTCAGGGATGGCTGAGATAAGGCATTTGGCAAACACTTGATGGTCATAAACTGTTTTCTCCCGGTTGTCTTCAAGCGTGTACAAGATGTTGGAGACATAGGGAGGCAAAACAGAGGGAGGGCAAGTTAGAAAGAACGGATGGGGAACAAAGTTAGCAAGACAGTGCATGACACAAAAACCATGCACGACACAAACAGTGCAGGACACAAAAATGGTGCATGAAACAAAAACAGTGCATGACACAAGGTGGTTACAGGGAATGGTAAAAAGCAAAACTTAATTTGAGTAGCATAACGTATACGCTCTTGAATATATTACTGTATATATAGAAGAATAATATTTGTCATAACTACCATTTTCAAGAAATGTTATTGCATTTTCATTGCACTCAGTTTCGTGAAAAGGGGAGGAACACAATAAATTTAGAGTGATTTACATTAACATGGTAAAAGTACTTTATTATTTGAAAATATACATGTCAGTTTCATGGTGATTTCTTTATCCAGAATGTTGGATAAATGAGACTAATGCCTACATTTACACAAATACTTAAAAGAAGTATGAATATTAATTGCAAAAGCATTACTACATGGGAAAACAGTAGATCTTGGTTTCCGATTTTACCTGGTAGCCAACGCCTGGTTAAATAATAATTGAGAAATAATTGATTGCTTTACTTTTCTTCTACTTCTCATTACCAATTGTCATTATTTGTTTATCTTTGTGTCCAAAACAGAAATGCAAGAATCATTCAGAGACTCAGTCTTCCCTGTATATAATCTTCATTGGTATATACTAACTGTAACAGGCACTCAATAAATATTCACTGAATGAATGCATAAATGAGATAATCACACAAGTATATAATTACAAACTATAATAAACCAATGTGATAAATGAATGTACTTTCAAAACTATGAGCATTCCACACATTCAAGGTGATACTATTTTTTTGAATTTTAGAAAAAAAAAATAATCTGCCAGAAGATAACATGTTAATTCTTTTGTATTGGTGGCTTGCTTTCTCTTTTTAAATTTTTGTTCAATTACAATTGACATTCAATTATCTTACATTAGTTTCAGGTGTACTGCATAGTGGGTAGACATTTATATAATTCACAAAGTGAAACTCCCAATAATTCTAGTACCACCTGTCCTTATACATAGTTGTTACAATATTATTGACTATATTCCCTATGCTGTACTTTACATCCCTGCGACTATTTTGTAACTACCAATTTGTACCTCATAATTCCTTCATGTTTTTCAGTGATTCCCTCAGCTTCCCCCATCTGGCAACTCTCAGTTTGTTCTCTGTGTCAGTGAGTTTGTTTATTTTGCTCTTAGATTCCACATATAAGTGAAATCCTATGGTATTTGTCTTTCTCTGTCTGACTTATTTCACTTAGCATAATACCTTCTAGGTCCATCCATGTTGTCTGTCTCAAATGGTAAGATTTCATTCTTTTCTATGGTAGAGTAACATCTGATTGTATGTATGCACAACATCTTTGTCCAAATGTCTGTTGATGGGGAAAAGGGAACCCTGTGTACCTGTTGGTAAGAATGCAAATTGGTGCAGCCACCATGGAAGCTCCTCAAAAGATTAAAACTAGGACTACTTTATAACCCAGCAATTCCACTCTGGTTGTTTTCTCTTTAAACATTTACTTGCTAAGTGTTTCTCTTCCTTTTTATCCATGGTTTATAGTATTGAGTTCTACCCATACGGTTCTGTAACCTCCTCCAACTCAGTTCAGTTACTCTAGAGATTATTAGCTAAGGTCAGTGAAGATTTGTGAAATCCGTTGTTGCCTCCTGAGACCTCATGTGCTCCCTAAAAATGTATGCCAAGTGTTGTGGACCCTGTGCATTTCACTGGAAAGAGCTCCCAAACTTTCATCAGATTCTCAGAGAATATGATCCCTTCCCCCCAAGTTTAAAAAGAGTTGCTTTAAAATTTTGTATTTTTGCTTTACTTTTTGTTGCTTTATTGGTACTTCTTCTTTGAGATGGTTTTATTTTCCTTTTAATTTTCATGATTATATTTTGGTATTTTAAAATGTTTACAGTTTATCCCCAGTATGTGGTATTCTTGGATTATTATATGCCTCTGTTCCCAGCCCTTCTCTCTGTGTCTCTTTTGTCTGGCCAACAGTGCGAGGATGCGCCAACTGCAGGCTTGTCCTGTCTAACCCTTCTGGGACCTTTACTTCTCCGTGCTACCCTAATGACTACCCTAACACCCAGGCTTGCATGTGGACCCTCCAGGCCCCCACCGGCTATATCATTCAGATAACGTTTAATGACTTCGACATTGAAGAAGCTCCCAATTGCATTTATGACTCATTATCCCTTGATAATGGAGAAAGCCAGACTAAATTTTGTGGAGCAACTGCCAAAGGTCTATCATTTAACTCAAGTGCGAATGAGATGCATGTGTCCTTTTCAAGTGACTTTAGCATCCAGAAGAAAGGTTTCAATGCCAGCTACATCCGAGGTATGTAAACCAAAGACGATGCCAAGCTTCTGCTTTCATTTAACATGCTCTACAATAAACACAGGACCAGGAGACAGAGCTATGCTCTTTTATGTGCATGTGAATGATTAGGATGAGAACTAAGGGCAAGAAGATGTTAATATTCTCTGAGTATTCTCATTAGCAATATATAGCTACCAGATCCAAAATCTGGTTACAGTAGAGCTGAATTTTTTTATCTTGTTTATATGCAGAATGAACATTCTAAGGCTACTTGGAAGACACTAGATATTCCACAGCTAATAATTAAAATCTGTGATTTTAACATCTCTCCACTGAATGTTGAAAACATTTCTATTTAGAAATCATTTTATTTTAAGCTTTTAAGATGTTGCCCTTTTAAGGAACCATGCTAGGGGACAAATGTAGAAAATTAGCATAAAATTTTAAAAGAGCAATTCCCAAATTAAGCTAATAAACAGCATAATCTGAGGCAAGTCTCTTGAAAAATGGCAATTGAAGGAAAGAAAATATATGTTAATCAAATATATTTCCCAGATTCTGGTATATTTTAACATTTAAATCTATTCTTTCTAAAACCTGTATTTGCTTAAGGAACACTCAAGCTTCAAAATTGAGACGTAGTTATACATTTTTTTCTCTAGAGCTTCTTAAGTAGATGTCATGTATCAAGAAAAGAGACAAACAAACAAAAGGCACCACTATGAAAATGACTCTCATTATTATAAATTGTATTTTTTGTGGCAGGGTTATTTACTATTTGTAATTGACATTAGATATATGTGTGGTGAATTGAAACACATGTTTTAATTTTTTAAATAATGTTCTAAAAAATTATAAGGTGTTATAGGAAATTTAAAAATAGAAAAGAAGCAAATTACAATTACCTATTTATATACACCCAGCCATAACCATTAATAAATGATTGATAAACATGTTTCCTTCTAGCCTTTTCATTTTAACATTCATAGAACACTAGGTTCATATTACATAAGATCCTTTTGGGTCAATAGACCTGTAAACTGTTTTAATATTTAAAAAAATACACTAAAATATATAATTCGATTAAATTCCATCATGGATTTTTAACTACAATATTTATTTTAAAATGATATTTTGACCACAGACCTATTCTTGGTGTGCCCTAAAATATATTCAAACTAACATTCATATGAATCCTGTATTAAACAGTATTTTTGAAGAGAGCTCCTTTTCTCTCAAATCAGTTCATAATGTTTCACAATGTCTATTATATTAGCATAGGGCTAAATCCATAGCATTATTTACTAATTTCACATATGCGTGAGACTAGGCTAGTGTATTTTTATTTTGAATTTCTTATGCATATAATAGTAGTAACCCATATTAGTAATCAATACTAGCTATAGATCAACTATGGCAGAATCACTGTCCTCGTGCTTTGCAGGTATTAATTTATTCAATTCTTGTTGAGCACCTGTGTAATAGGTGCCATTGTCCTTCATTTTGCAGATGACAAAACTAGGGTAGAGCAAAGCGAGCAACATGCCCAAGGTCACACAGTGCAGCGGAGAGCTGGGAGGGGGAGCTCCATCATCTGCCCTTTGAGCCACAAGCTCAAACGTAAAAGACAGAAAATATGCTAGTTCAACTGTAAAGGAAATAGAGCTTAAAATTCCATTTTTGTTTACTGTTTTACTCGACTCCCTCTCCTCAAAGGACTTGTCCTTGTTTTTGTTCCTGAAATACCCATGTGGTAGGGAACATGAGTAGGATATGGGGTGTCTGGAAGGGAGAAAGGCAACAACAATCCCTACTAGAATTACTAGTTATTATAGAATTACTAGTCATTATATCTAGAAATTATTTGAAAGGAACATATTTTCAAAAATCTTAAGTATAAATAGAGCTTTCCTGAAACCGGTAGTTTTTAATTATGGTGGGTTGTTTTGTTTTTAAGTTCTGGAATTAAGAAAAATACTTGTTACTAACTTGACTGACCATACCTCAAAGTTTTGGTGTGAGACCCAACCCCGATTAGAGTTTAAATGGGTGGGATTTCTTACTGCTGTTATTATAATTGGTATAAGGGAATGGGTTGGTGATAGAGGGCAGATAGATGGCCAATGAAAGAGGGGATTGATGGAGCAGAAGTCAGTTAGTAGAGAGGTGGAGGGGTTGGATGTACCAGACATTTTACATCTTACTACTCCATATCTGAGGCTAACATGTTTTATTTATTATGTTTTGTCCTAGTTGCTGTGTCCTTAAGGAATCAAAAAGTCATTTTACCCCATACATTAGATGTGTACCAGGTATCTGTTGCAAAAAGTGTCTCTATTCCGGAGCTCAGCGCTTTCACACTCTGTTTTGAAGCAAACAAAATTGGCAAGGAAGACGGTGAATGGATGGCTTTCTCCTACTCAAATGCATCCTTCACACAGTTGCTCAGTTTCGGAAAGGCCAAGAGTGGCTACTTTCTAACTATATCTGGCTCACAGTGCTTACTAAACAGCGTGTTACCTGTAAAGGATAAAGAAGATATTTTCACAGAAAGCTTTGAGCAGCTTTGCATCGTTTGGAATAATTCTTTGGGCTCTGTGGGTATAAGTTTCAAAAGAAATTATGAAGCAGTTCCATGTGATTCTACCATCAATAAAGTTATTTCTGGGAATGGGAAATTGTTGTTGGGCTCCAATCAAATTGAAATTGCTTCTCTAAAAGGGGACATTTATAACTTTCGACTTTGGAATTTTACCATGGATTCCAAAATCCTCTCCAACCTCAGCTGTAACGTGAAAGGGAATGTGGTCGACTGGCAAAATGACTTTTGGAATATCCCAACTCTAGCTCTGAAAGCTGAAAGCAACCTCAGCTGTGGTAAGTCCGTGACATATTAACTCTTTGTTTAAAGCATCGCTCTATGAATATTTCAACAAAAAAAGTATACATGCATGTACATATGATTACATATATATACATTCATAGTTACCTTATACATATGTATATGTATAATACATATGTGTATGTGTATATATATGTATAGTTAGCATTAATGAACCCTCACTTTATAAAATGTTATCTGCTCAGCTATTTATAATAGACATTTGATTACAAGCCATATTTTTTCAATCAAAGCTTTTGGTCCTACCATTTTTAAGTTTTCTTTATGTCATAAAACATCACACAGTTTACCACCCACAAACGATAGTTATAATTATCATGTCTCAAATAGAAATGTTGATACCAGGCCTGAAACAAAAGAAATTAATGTTACTGTTTTTAATCACATAGGTGATACAGTAAAAAGCTGATTTGTGTCATCCTGGAATGAAACTTCCATTATGTTATTTAAATAAACAACCACCACTGAAAAGCAGTTGGTATTAAAGATCACACCTGTCCATTTTAGGAAAATCTTTGATAATCAGAAGTTATCATTTTCTTTGAACTTTATTTCTATTTACTTGAAAATGAGCTTTGTTATCTGTTTCAAATACTCTTCTATTTATGATTGCTTTTTGAGAGACTTTAAATATGATGTTGGAAGTAGCTAAATGCAAAATGCTTAGAGAAATAATACTGTGTAATATAATTATATTAAAATAGACTTCTATCAAATATTCTCTAGTTACACAAGTTAATTTTGGAAGTCCTTATTTTACTACAGGACTAATCAAACACAAAATGTAAAAGTTTCATTATCACTTTTGAATGTTATATGACTAAATCTACGGTGTAGATAATATATACTTTTTAGTCACAGAATTCTCATTAGAGGAGAAAAGAAAGAGCCTAATATTAAGTAATTTGTATGTGACTTCGGAGGGGATTCTATCAGAAATTTGTTCCCAATACTTTGAACAAAGCAGGACCCCTTGTGAAGACCTGAGGCCACCTCCCCAGTCGCCATGACCTGTGTTTGCCCTCCCGGCCCGGGGAACCCCTGTCACCTACCGTTCTGTGCGGGTACCGCATTTCTCCATGCGGTCCTGGCGCTCCTGCAGATGTTGGGAGGCTGTTAAAGGGTGTCCTTTGAGAGCTATTTCCTCGCGGGTTGTTGGAAAGAGGGTAAACCACGACCCTGTTCCAGGAGGAGACTGGGGAACTTTGTAAGAGCTAATGGTGTTCCCCAGCTCCTCTTGGTCTGATTGGCTGCGGAACACCTTCAGGGATTCCTGAGGAGTCTCACTCGGTGAGGAAATTGAGAAGGTCGAGCGTGTGTGTTTGGTGTGGGATGGTGAACGGGTGGAGCAGGCAGTGGTGCACTGCCTGCATCCTTAGTTGAGGGGCTTGTTTTTCACCATATCCTTGTTCATTATGAAGAGTCATAACATAGACCATTTAACATTTGTCTTTTTGCGGGGCAGCATTTGAGGACTCTGGCCACCACTCTTCCTGCGCCCCCAAAAAAAAGAAAGAAAGAAAAGAATTTGGCTAGGTATATGAGTAACAGCTAACAATTTATGGTTTAATTGAATATATATAATGTTCTAGGCACTGTTTAAAGCACTTTTCCCATATTAACTCACTTTCTACAACACAGCTTTCACAACGTGGGTTTTATTATTAGCCTCATTGTGCAGAAGAGAAATCTGAGGCCCAAAAACCTTAAGGAATTTAACCAGTGTCACTTCATGAATAAGTGGTCAAGCCAGGAATTGAACCCAGAGAGTTTGGTTTTAGAGCCATTGATTCTTAAGCAGTGTAAATTAGACCATCCTTCAGAATAAGAAGGACTGGAAAACGGGACATAGCCATAGAGGAGGTGGGCTAATTCTTACCCAGGTGAGACTGAAGGCTCAGGAGCCCTCTCTTCTGGCCAGAGAGCTTTCTGTGGGAAAATGCTAGCTTCCCAGGGTGTTAAAATGGTATTTGTTTTAAACAAAATTAATAAGGTTTCTTTCCTGCAATGCTTCCTAGATGTCTTAATATAATAAAATGCGAGGGATGTAAGTGTGCAAGAATCCCTGACTTTCTTTAAGAAATCCTCTAGACCAGGGGTTGACAGACATAGAGGGCCTATGGCAGGCCATCTGTTTCCGTGAAGTTTTACTGGAACGCAGCCATGTGCTCTTTTTTTAAAAATTGTTTTTAATAGTGCCTTTAGCACTCCTTTTCCAGCCCTTGAAATTACCGGAATTCATCAGGTACATGCTCATGAAGCATAGTCATCTACAAATTTTCAAAATGACTTCATTCAAAGGAGTGGTGCAAGCTTACTTAATCAGTGATTTGAATTCCTTTAACTTTTATGGTGGTCTTCCTGACATTCCAAGATGACACCGAACACCCGCGTTTCATAGATTCAGATATCCTGGACTAAGTAAGTTTCAGGAGTCATAACAGGAGAGGGTGAGGGAGTTTCCTGCTGTTTAATCATCAGCTTTGGGAGTTGAAGAACCAAGTCACTTATTAACTGACAGGAAATACCTGTAACACAGATTATATCTAAGCCTATTAGCTAAGCAAAACTTCAATACATGAAAAAAAAAGATATGCTCTATTAACATTTTAACCTTTCCTTTTTCCCAGAATGCCGTAGCTTGCTGTTTATGGTACTAGTATTTTCCAACAACTAATGATCAGTACAGTAACCAATGGGAAAATAGAATTTCATGCCTAACATTCCACTGGCCTGACAATGTCTATTAAATATGAACTTTTATTTCAGAATCAACTTGTGGTAGAAAATGAATAGATTTTTCAAAAGGTCTATCACTAAGTAAATTTGCCTATGAAAATAAGATAGTAGAACAGAACTAACTATATTTAAACATCCTATCATTTGTTTCAAATACTCTAGCCCTAGTAAAAGCAACAAATGTTTCAACAATTTTAGAATTGAACTGTTTTTGTTTTCCTAAACAATTCTAAGCATACTTGGGGAGTATACCTTAATTAAAAATTTTTCAATGTTTTCTTAAAAACATGGTTAATTTTATCAGTCTTTTTCAGAATGAAATGTTTTATTTAGCAACAGTTCTTTCTTATTATGTAGTATCATTCTTTTTCTTAGAACAATTTCGGTAAACCTATTCAGTTTTATGACTTCCATGGACAGACAATTTTCTTTGCTGACTCTTTAATTATAGGTGCAAGTATTTGCCTGTGTTATGATTCAGGCTTAGATACTGGCCGGTGTCCATCAGTTTTCACCAAGAACAGACAGTGCCTTCTCCGCCAGTTTTATTTACTTTACTGCTGACTGCTCCTTCCTGAGGTGTCATCCAGTATAACTCAATGAATAGTCTCAGTTCAAATAAATTACATTTATTTAACTAGATTTAATAAGCACTTCCATTTATTAGCCACTGTGGTTATAGTGATAAGACACAATTTTAAGTGCCCAACTTTGTTGTTATTCTTTTCTAGAAATGTTTGGATTTGTACCAACTTCTGTTTTCATTGCCAAGATTTTGCACTTAATTACTAAGGCACCCTCAACTCTCAGACTCCTACCCTTTCATTTTCAGTCATTACAGCTCTGTTCTTCATGGTCCCCACACTCTGATTCATTATTGGCTCCTTTCTTTTACCCCTAACAAATTTTTGACCGACATTTTTAGATTACCAAATTATGTATAAACACTAAAGATAAAATCACTTTATCTTTACAAAGGACTTTATTATTTGGAAAAGCTTGAACTCTTTATGTGCATAAATGGCCTTCAGAAATAATTTTATTTGAAATCAATTTACTTATGGAAAAATTGTAAAATTCAACTTGGTACAGCTGCAAAAAAAGAATTGAAAGGGATTATTTTTTCCCCATTGTAACTCATGCTAAGGGTTCATTGCTGTTTACCCTTTATTTTATTTGTTATTTGGATTATCATTAAATCAGGTATGAGGTGAGTTGTTGGCTACACATCAATCTTTTTTTTACCGCAACTCATGTAAATAAATGGTGATTCCTTTGAGTAGCATAATTTTAGAAGAAAGACAGAAAAGAAGGATTTACAGCTTCTCATCAACTGCCCCTATTCAGTGATTACAGTGTTTCAAAGAAATTTGGCTTTAAATTTTGCAGTCGACATTAAGTAAATTCCTTTAATAGATACCTTTGTGGTATCTATAAAAATCAATGAACATACATAGGTTACATTCTGAAAACAATTCCTTGATGATAAAGATGCTAACTTTATCCAGGAGGGAGAATTGTCTCACTTTGCTTAACTCTCTCCTGGTTTGTAAATATGTTGGCCTAGGAAAATTGATAGCAATAGTGACTTTTTATGCAGATATGCTGAACATGGAACTGGTTAGAAATTTTAAAAATTACAGCACTTTTTGTATTTCAAGTATTTATGTAACTTGGTGTTGTAAGATTTTCTTTATCAATATAATTTCCCTCTAATAATATTCGTCACTTGTATTTATACTATCCCCCCAAATCGTCAAATTTAATATCTATGATTGTATTGAATCATCATAAAATAGTGTTTATTGAGTATTTATAAAGCAATCTCCATTTGCTAAACTTTTAAGTGCCTAAGGAAGAACACCTGTCAACTTAAATATCAAGAAATAAATGCTACAGTTTCCCGTGAAGAGGTTGTCACAAATTGAAATTTATACTTGTTATTATACAATGACATGGACAAAATCTGAAAGAAAATTGTCAAATATCTTACTACAACAACATAACTCTTCTGGTTTTCTTTCTTTATTCCCTCCTCTGAGCTCTTTAATATACCGCTGTGGAAATGTAGTTAGCAATAAAACTTCTTTCCCACAACAATGCACCCTTATCTCCCTTTGTCCTCCGGAGATACTGTATCAGGGCCAGAAGTGGCCTGGGGAGCCTTTGACTGCCAACATTGTGTGCAATTTGAGAAGCGCAGGAACTCAGTCCAAGGTTCTCGTCTCTTGCCTTTTACACTGGCTGAGATTTCCTCAGTCATTTTGAATTTTGAAAGCTTTTTAGTTTCTAAAAGTTCCTTATTAACATATAAGTATCTAGAGGAGAAAAGAAGTCCTGCAAAAAAGGGGCATAAGTTCAGTGGGATGGGAAAAAAGAATGGGCAGAAAACTTTCAAGATAAAATGCTACCGCAGTTCTGTCTAAGGCTGACCTCAACTTCTGCCTCCTCAAATGTTCTTTTTTTCGTGGTACACTTGTCCAGGCTTTCAGTGTTTAAAAATCCCCCTCCCTGTCTCTGCTTCCTTTCAAAGCCAAGCTTCCTTTCTTTGCATTCACCCCTCGAACAAACATTGGCAGTCTAGAGTGCGTGGTTCCCATGCTCCTGAAACTAATTTCTGTAGAGCTGCTACCAAAATTCCAGTGTAAAGTTAAAGGTCTTCTCAGTCTTTATCATTCTTGACCTTTCTGGTGCAGTTGATATTGCCACATCTTCCACAAAACATTCCTCACTTTAATTTTGTGAAGCCACGTTCTACAGGAGCTATTTTTACCTTCTCAAATCTGTAGCTCTTCTAAGAAAAAAAAAATCAAAGCATTGAATAAAGGGAGATCAATGGCTGCATCCTTATCTCCTCTCAAATCTACACTCTAACTCCAGCGATCGCAGACACAGCTGTAGCTTCTGTTGGGCAGTGCCTGGCTAGACCTCTTACAAAATCGTGTACACCTGCCAGGGACCCAGGTGTCTCATAGGCACCACAGTTTCCATTACTGGACTTACTGGTTAGCCCACCTCAGTTTGCTCTTCTTCTGGTATTCCCTATCTCATTTTAGGAGATTCTTATGTGCCAATATCTCAAACTGAAAACCAGAAAAACATCTTCTTCCCTTCCTTTCCCTGTTTCTCAAAGTCCCTGAATCCTATGCAGTCTATCTTCAAATGTCATGTATCTATCTCTATCATCATTTATTCATGATACCAACTCTGAATCATTAGTATTATTCATACTTCTTGTATCTCCCCTCTTTTAAATGGTTATGGATCCTCAAAGGTGTTTTCAGATTTAAGTCTAATTTTCTCACCATGTTCTCTTAAGAATTTACAAGGTGAGCAGTTATTTATCATTCATTCGGTAATTTAATCAATAGACCTTGAGCACCCACCTGCCACGTGGATGGGATACACCATCATTAGCAGAGTCCCCGCACTCTACAAGGCCTTATCCATTACCTACATAACTGATCATTGATACAGATTTTCTACAAATATCCAGTAATGCCATGTCACTTGTTTTCCCAGATCTTTTACTGCCTACTTGGCATATGTGTTTCAGTTACTCTGTCAGCTAGAAATGTCGACCTCTAGACTCTTATTCCGTGAGCAATAGTGACTCCATATGTTCTTCACAGTTTTCCTTGGTAATGGATTGTGCCATTCTCCCTTCTCACCAAGCTGCTGGTCAGGGCCTCCTTTGGGCTACGAAACACACCAGTCAGAGAACTGTGAAGCCGTTCCCCACTTACGCCTCGCTGAGAGCAGCAGCGTTACCTCCAAATGTTCTTCTGGCCTCTGTGCCTTACACACTATAAACAGTCAGTGAGTTTTTATTGAATAAGCATGTAAAGATCTGTAATGAGAGCTTCATGACAGTTAACATCACAGACTTGCCTATAGGGTTGGGTCTTTCTGAGGTAACATGATTCCTTGGGCCAGGTGCCTGAGGCAGTCAAGAATAAAGAAGCTCTGCGTCCTAAGATACCATTAACCTGGGGATGCTCTCTGTTTATGCACACCATTTACCTAGACATCTTTTCTTAGTTCATTTTTTTTGTACCTGCTCTACTCACATGTACTGTTCCCACAGGAAAGTTCCGAGAAATGTTTAAACATTAGAATGGAATCACTATTAGAGAAATGCCCTTTTAAAATTGAATGTACGTATTTATGTGTGTATTTGTTTTTATTCTTTTGTCTTTATTTATAGTGAGATATGCTTTGTAATAAGTTTAACCCATCTTTCCTCTTCTCAACCTGTTTGTAAAAGTCTGTCCATTGTCAGAGGGAGAGGTAGTGCAACAGAGAAAACCCACTACTCCTACTAGAAAAATCAGCTCAAAAGTTGTTTCCTACTGAGAATGAGTCAGTAAAAGCTTGAAATAGATGCAGAGACCAAGCTGATATCACAGAAATGTATTTCTGGAATTGCAAATAGCAATGCATGTTAGTGTGTGGGAAATGAAAATGTTCATTTTATGAGTATTAATAGCCAAATTTACTTTTGAAACTTATCTTTGATGTTTGTATTATTTCATTTGTATGAATTTCCACCAGAGCTGTATAATTTACTATGTGAAAAGGCCCTGAACTTTTCACACAGGCTTTTCCTTTCATGTGTCTGTGGCCAATAAATGGAGTTAAAGATCTTGAGGGATATTTTAATAACCTGATTTTACACTTGCTGGGATTAAGACACAAGGACTTTAAGAGACTCCCTTAGTGTTGGGGTATTACTGGTGGACTCTTCTAGGGCTGTTCCTATTATACCAAACGTGTGATTTGTGATTTTTTTCTGGATAATATTAACTCTTAAGTCAAACTTGTATAATCCTCTCTGTTGATCAAGGTTCCTACCTGGTCCCGCTTCCCGCAGCAGAACTAGCCAACTGTGCAGATTTGGGGACCCTCTGCCAAGGTAGGGAACCAGCGTCATCCTCTGGAGTCTCTATGTTTTCTACTTGCTATTTTGGATAATGTGGTTTTTATTGTTTTGATTTTTATCTTAATTTTCTCTTGGGGAGCCAGAAACCAGCAAAACAGAAGGATTTCTGGATGTGTTTTAGTTCATGGGTGCACAGAGAAAGAATGAGTTCGCTTACTGGATGACCACTTTGCCATAAAGCACTGGGGTTTTTAGATGTGAATGATAATATGCTTATAACCAAGGGTTGATTTCATTTTTTTTCCCTCTTTGCCTTCTCAAGAGTAGTGTAAAGGTCCAGTGTAAATTCAATCATACACTCTTTTGAAAAAGTATTAATGTCTAAAAATCCAGGAGGAAAATTAAGTTGAATATTAAGTTAAGTTTAAGACAAGGACATGAGGCAATTTATGATGTACAATATAACAAATACTAAGGTGAAATAATTATACTGAACTAACATTAATGTAACTTTATTAATTATGCATAATGACTATACTATGATCAGCATTCTAATTATAGATTACGGACTAAACAGTTGCATGCTAAATAATATGTAACGAAAGTCTCATAAATTTTAAAATAATAATTAATGTATTTTGCTTTAATTTTATTATTGCTCTTCTTAATTTCCCATGACCCACTTTCATTCATTCATTATATTAAATACTTCTTTTTGAAGTAACATGTTCTATAAACCACACTAAGAATCATGATCATGCCTTTTGCAAAAGCTGGATCTCTTATTAGGAGGCAGATGGCAAGGGTTAGAAGTGAGAATAAATGAACAGAAATTGAGGGTTTCTTCTGTGGTTCCAGTGTAGGATTATGGCTATAATTCATTATTATCTTATTTCCTCTCCAAGACATGGTTCTTGATATTATCAATGGATACCTTATGAAAACAAAATTATTAAGTAGTTTCCATGCACTCAGTGTAGTTTAAAAGTAATTATGTGAAACAGAAAAAAATATTGCCTAGTTCAAGATGTAAAGGTTTTTAAACATTATTTATTTTATTTTTCTTCTCATCTGAGATACCTATAGTTCTGATTTCTTGGGTCACAGGACAAGATGCCCAGTTATTTTCTTCCTCTTGTGTCCTAAATGACAGAAAAACCACGTTCATGTTTATTGATGCATTTTGCATTGAGATAAATATAGCTGTTCATAATTTGTTTAAAAGACTTCAACAGGAATCCCCATTTTAAGTATTACATACCTCACTGAAATGGAAAATTTTTCAGTTAAGAATGCATTTTTTGAATCAAGGAATTTAGTATTTTCTAAAGACCCTTTACAAGGTAATTCTTTGTGTATTCACTGAAATGTTTTAAATTTAGGTAGTTTTAAAAATTAGAAATACATAACAAATGGTTATTGTACTTTGAATGTACATTTAGTACAAATATACTACTAGGATAAACTAAAGGAAAATTATGTGTATGGTTATTTTACTACTTATACAGGGGTTGGCAAAAGTAGATTTATAGTCATTTGTATGGAAAAAGACATGCAGGTTATGATTATTACTACAGCTTTATTAACCCTGTTTCATGTACTCACAACTGTAAACCTACTTTCGCCCCACCCTGTATAGCTCCTTCATAATGCCTTCAAAAAATATTTATCAAAGCATTGCATAAGGATTTAATCTTTGAGAGTTTGAATAATATCAGAAGTGCATCTATGGCATAATGCTTTAAAAATGTCTCCCCCCAAAGGCTTGTCCATATGGAATCCATTTTGTCCATCAGTGTTTAGTAAAGTAATTGGGACCTTTAAGTGATTGATTTAGCCTATCTTTTTATTCTCTTTCACTTGACAATATATTTATCATCTCAAGGAGAAATATGTTTTTCTCTGAGATTTTGTTTCTCTGTTCTCAGTCAGTCAGGAAGACTGACTTAGTTCGGATAATTTTCAAGCTGATGGGTACAGTAGAGACTGGCTTCTCTAACCTTTTCTTTTTACACACTTAGGAAACTGAGTTCTAGAAAAGTCGAGTCATTCTCAGTGTGGTTGTCAGCCTGTTGATGGCAGAGCTGGATCTAGAAGCGAAATGTTCTTTCTCCATTCCCTTTATGCCAGATCCAGACTCTTGCAGTATGGTACCACAGGCCATGTGAACTGATTCTTACTGTGCTGTAGAACGCATTGCTTTATTTTATGCATTATAACCTGTTGTAGTTAGTGGCAAAAAGTGGTTTCTGTTCCTTCTCCATATATTGTCGTGAAATAATTATATATTGCTCATCCATATTAACTGTCATGTACTCCTTGCAAAATTACATCTTTCTCATCTTTATTAGCAGCTACTGTAAACTCTCCTAGTACTAGACCACCTACTGTCATCACTAACATGCCTGTTACTAATAGAGTCGATAAACAAAGGAATGGTAAGAAACTATTACCTTTTATATTTGTAGTATATCTGATGTGATAAAAAAATACATCTTAAGGGTGGAAGGATCTAGTGTTTCAACAAAGCTCCTATTATTGAAATCAACCAGTACATTTGCAAGACTAGTAAAAGAAAGAAATATCACTTGGTTTTCCTGAGTTCTTCGTTCTAATGACCACTGGAATGAGTTCATTTCCAGTACTGCTTCCTTGTACTTTTAGCTAAAATTTCTTTCCAAAGAAGTTTTATGAGAAAGACATTTAATTAAAAGGAATGAATTTATATTATGCTAGAGATCTCAGAAAAAAAAATTATTTGTGGCATTTTGTCAGATTATTCTCTTTAGGAAGCTACTTTCTGAAGATTTTATCATTTCAAAAAGCTAATTTTAGTAATTTCACTGAAGCCAAATTTATGTGTAAATACATGTGACATTTAAATAATTTTATATGGCAATAATTTGCTCTCTGCTTTTATTTGCTGAATAATGGTTAAAATAGGATTGTCCATCAACTAAATCATAAATCAATTTTTTTACCGAATTCAGAGAGAGAGAAACATTGTTTTGTTGTTCCACTTATTTATGCATTCATTGGTAGATTCTTGTATGTGCCCTGCCGAGGGATCAAACCCACAACCTTGGAGTATTGGGATGATGCTCTAACCAAATGAGCTACCCAGCCAGGGCATAAATCAATTTTTTTGTTCTTATCTGAGGATATGTTTACTGATTTTTTTTTTTTTAGAGAGAGAGAGAAGGGCAAAGAGAGAGGCATCGATGTGATAGAGAAACATCGATCAGTTGCCTCCCAAATCCCCACCCCACCCCTCATGGGGGCCAAACTAATAACCCAGGTATGTGCCCTGACCAGGGAGGGATCAAACCCAAGACCTTTTGGTGTATAGGACAACGCTCCAAACAACTGAGCCACCTGGCCAGGGCATAAATCAATTTTTGATTGAAAAAAACTTCAAGTAACTACCAGTATGTCTTGCCTTTTTTATTCATTATGTGCTTTTCTATTTATATTATTTGTAATTTGCAAATATAGCAGTTACATAACACAGGTGAGCAGGGGAAGTGCCTGGTGAATTGAGCTATTAGTTAATCTGTTGCCTTTATGGATCACATACGTAGCCTTTTGGTAATTCAGAGTAAGTAATTTCAGTTTCTTCTGAAAAAGAGACATTCCAGTTAGGTGACCACACCATTGCTTCAAATACCGTAATATTCTCAAATATGAGGTATTAGGAACAAAAGAATTTTCTCAACTCCAGTCATTTATGTTGTGAAGCCAAGACATCTGTAATATATCACCAGAGACCAAAACCCAGAGAAGAGAAACCCACATAGTTCATTTTCCTTTTGGCTTTGGGGTTACATCAACTTCCTCTGTAAGGACGTTTAAATTGAAAGTATGGAATATTTTACATGAAATGTAAAGGGTTATAAAGACATCGATTCAGGGAAGTGTTTATGGTTATTCTGGTAGTTACACCAAGGAGATTTATGATGGAGCAAAAATTCCAGCAGCCCCCAAGAAAGCAACAGCAGCTGAAGTTTCCAGTGCATATTTCACATGGACGCCAGCCAGTAGATGGGAATATTATAATTCCAACTAAGTATTTCGCTCTTTGTATGAACATACAAAGAGCCTCTGTGGCATTCTCCCTTCAGGACTGGCACATCCTCTGCTGCCCAAGAACATTTATATGATGCTTCAGAGGCCTTGACTTGGTGGAGTGGAGCTGTATTCACTCAGTCATGTCATTTCTGACATTCTTGAAGAGAGCCTTGTTTAGTTCCTCTCTCTCTGCGTCATAACTTTCATTGGAGCGCCAACAAAGCAAGCAAATGTTAGAATTAGTTGAAATGGTTTGATTTGACCACATTAAAAAAAAATTCTAATTCAGATGATTCTTGATAAAAATATAATACTAACATTTGAAAATATTTGAAAATATTCATAGGTTGTCACATAGTAGCAGTAGCTCTATGCTCTCAAACTTGTGTACTCAAATTTGTGTACCTTTTTTTTTTACCACATCCTTGAACCACCTCCACTCTCCATTTCATAGTTGTTTTTTTCCTAAGTTGGCTCACTTTTTTACATAAGCATTTTTATTTGCATGGGAAAATCAATATCATTATTGTAAAATGAAGCCATAACCACTTGTTTTAAAATAGAAGTGAAAAATAAATATAATGAAAACAATGTTATTGGAGTGTCCCTATATCCTATTGCTTTCTACATCTCAGTGCCTGAAGCCTTTATTATCTTTTTAAAAGGGGATGATAAAGTGTTAGAGATAGATGATAACCTAAATAAGATTTTTTGATGTAATCAAATCTGGAGTAATTGAAAAGTGAATTACTTGTTTACCTTATGAATAAATGGGATTTAATGCTATGTCTTGGACTAAGATCATTCACGTACTGTCAACAAGTTCCGATACACATGTTTTATTCCTTGGGAAATTGATATAGTAAACATTCTCAGGCCTATGATCCGATATACAGGGTGGGGCAAAAGGAGGTTTACAGTTCATATGGAAAATAATACAATAATTAATAACTAATAATACAAGAATAAACTCTGTGCTTCATGTACTCACAACTGTAAGCCTGCTTTTGTCCCGTCCTGTACTAGAGAATCTAGATTGTTTACTCTAAGAAAGATAGGCACAACTATCTTTCTACTTTATCTGTTTTTTTTTTAAACTCTTGGCGATCAAAGAGTCTTACCGAGTTCATCAGCGGTGAGGGGAGAGGGAGTAAAACTGGTTGACAGCCAGAGAGATTTCTTCAATGCACTGTATCAATTAAATGTGCTTTCCTGGCTTTTGTGAAATGTTCCTATTTTTCTGTGCCAAGTTCTTTTTGTTGTTTTCAGTAAGACTTTTATCCGCTACCTCAGATTATACACTAAGAAAATCTTGTTTTGTAAGCTACTTTTCATAAACAGATATTTCAGGAAATAATGGATAATCCAGGCATTTCCACAAATAACTTTTAACCTTTTCTATTACATTCCCAAGAAAAGCTCTTTGACTAATTATTGTTTTCATTCAAAATTACATTTTCTATACTTGAAGCATCACTCTAGTGCTACTGAATATCAAGCTTTGGTGAGGTCAGCAAAGTTAATCCCAAGTAAGGAACTGGCTTTGTTCCCCTTTATTGTTGGCTTATAAATACAGATTGTAACACTGCTTCTAGTTTCTCACATACGTTTAACAACTGAGATGAAAACTTCCGTCTCAGGATATTTGTATAGCTCTAGCCAACAGTCTAGCTTTGAATGGCAGGTGTCGTATAGCAATGGTGGGTATAGGATGAGCCAGACTCCAGTCACATTGCACACGCCGCTGTCGTATCGTAATTGTCTCATCACTGGTTCAGAGAAATAGCCCTGAACCTAAAATAACATTTCCTTTCTATTTTAACATCGATCTTTTCAAGTATATATTTTTAACTCTACCTTTCAAACCTTCATTTCACTGTCTTGACTACAGAGTAGATAAAGTAATTTCATTTTTACATTTTCCAAGAAACTCTAAAAAGAATGTTAAGAAGACAAAAAGGAAAAATTAATTGGAGAGAGACCTTCAGACAGGAATGAGGTTTTTTAGTACCACATATGTAATGGCAAGTAATAATTTCTACTTCAAAGTTCTGTGTGGCTAGAAGAGTTATTTAATTGGAAGAATATAGATACTTCTTAAATACTTTTTTCCTATAGAAGCGTCTATCATGGCTTCTTCTGTCCTGGATGACATTATTGGGACAATACATTCATCTTTAAAAGTCTCTGGAACATAGAAAGATTTGTGAATAGCTTTTATACTGAGACACTCTGGGAGTTGTAACATTTATAGGAGGAGACAAGTTGACCACAAGGATGACAGGGAGAAGTTTACCTCAGTGTGTTGTAATTGTGAATTTTCTGCACCGGCCATGCTTGTGCCAAATATTTGGCTACAATTCAAAACCTTATCACCAGGCCTTCCGTGGACATTTTAGTTTGCTTTGACAATTCACTCTTGGAGATTCCTCATGGTTACTTGCTGACTACATTATTCAAAATGTTTAAGTATAACAAGTAGCCGCTTCTGAGTAGTTTTGAGCTAAGGATAAAAATAGTGCATTGCAAGTCTTCTGAAGAGAGACTACCTGATAATAATCCATAGCACAAGAAAATTTGTAGCACAAGATGCTAGGGTTTTTTTTTTATTATTTTTTTTGTATATTCACATATTTGACTTGCTTTAAGCAATATAACTCTAAAGAGAGTACTATGTAATTGATTTAGGCTGCCTTGGATATTGGATGTCTTATTTATAAAAACAGTGAACTGGAAAAAAAAAGTGAGGTAGGTAATATTTAAAATTTAAAGAAAAATATCTTAAACACATGGATGCTTCCATATAATTTCAGAAATGTCAGTGATGAAAATCACTGATTTGTAGAATTTTGCAGTGTTTTCCTGAGATGAAAAGAACACTACTGTTAAACAAACACGTACTTTAGGTCTCCATCTAGTGGTGGCTTTCAGTTACTGTGCGGGCATCAGGCAACCTTCACAGAGTGTCCTGGGAACCCCAAATAAACAGAGGATCTTGGACCTCTGCATTTGAATTGCCTCTCAATTATTTGGAATATTCATGATTTGATATGAGATCCAAAGTGTAAAAAAGGTTATCTTGTCCAAATTGTTTTAATCATTTTTCTCTAAATCTTTTCATTTAGAATATTTTTAAAGGAATATCAAACTCAAGATCATTAAACTACCTAAAGAGTTTTAGAAGCTGAAATAACCTAATCTGCATAAATTAACCTCACTGGGACCTGTACCAATTTTATATTTTTATATTACATCCTGGAGGGCTTTGCTTGCTTTCTTGTTTGCATGAGATTTCCCACCCATATACTGGAAAAACATTCTTTTAGTAGTTGGACTGCAATTTGCACTTTGGTAAATTTGGGAATTTCCAGAGGCATACTTTTTTTTGTACCTTGATTTGTACTGCCTCCCCAAAATCTTTATTAAATCTATTTCTCATCATTGTTTTAATTATATATTTCTAAATTTTCTGTGCATGCATTACTTAAGACATACCCAAACATATACTGTATTATGAAGAAAGGTGAATTGACTATAATGGAAATTCAAACATTTTTTTCCTGTCAGTAACCTACCATATTTTAGTAAGGAGTCCTGTAACGTGCAGCTAGAGAGATTTAGCAAATCCAGGCTGGTGAGTTTGATATGTATGTATGTATGTATGTGTCATACTGCTTTAAAGATTACCCCCAAAAGAGGAAGAGAAAAAAACCCCAAAAAACCAAGTTTCTCTGATATTGTTTTCTTTCTTAAAGCAAGCTGATTGAAATTCTCTACGCAAATACTGTTTTTTTTTCCCCTCTAGTTAGGTACAAATGACTACATTTGTGGAATTTTGATGAAAAATCTAGTGGTTTCCAACCTAATAACTTAGTAGAAGTGAATGCTTTATGGGGGAAAGAAATGAAAGGCAGAATGCGAGGCAAAGGGCAGTAAATCTGCGTAAGCCTGTTCTTTTCCAAGTTACCAGCTGCCCCTCATCTCTCTCGTGTTACATGCCAAACTATGATGTACAAAAAAAAAAAGATAATTTCTTGTTACAAGAAATTAAAGTGTACATGAAAACATCACCACTTTACAGACTATAGATATCAGAAATATTTAAAACTTAAAAATACAAAGAAACACTTTAGGAGCAATGAAATAATTGTCTGTAAGAGTCAACTAATCAATAACTCTTTCTAAGAAGTTGCAAAGGTCAATGAGCATAAAGTAAAAATATCTCAGAAGTTTTCTGTACCTATGTAGGTGTTTCTTTTATGCTGTGTGAAATTATGCGATTGTAAATTTACACTGATAATTACATGACTGTAAAATGTAATTAATGGGCTAAATCCTATTTCCAATGGACAGATGGAATTATCTATAGAATTTCCTTAGTGATTCAAAACATCCTTCGTCACCCTGAGGTAAAAGTACAGAGCAAGGTGGCAGTATGGGTAAGTGAACCTATAAAACTTCTTTTTTGGGTTTATGCTATTAACCTCTGGAAATCTGGAAAGACCCCACTGCTTGGGTAATGCAACCCACAGATAGTACTGATACATAGGTACTGTTCATTTTAAGTGTATAAATCAGTATGTAAGTGAGGTATTGTGCTTATGCGTAGAAAGAGGTGCCTTTGAAAAAAGGACAAGAAACTGAGCCTACAAAATAATATTGAATGTAAACTGTAAAAATAAATTTAAAAATTGAAAAAGAGGGAAAAAAAGAAAATGCCACACAAATGGAAATGTGTGTTGGTAGGTATCTCTATTTACTATTGAGTGCATACATTTTCAGCACTAATTTTAAAAGTATATTTCTCATTTTATTATCTAATTGTTTGAGTATTTTTGAATCAAAAAAAGTATGAAAAGATATACACCAGGTCCTTAAACAGTATTATTTCATTCAACATTGTTCTGTTATAACATTGATGAGATACCATAGGTACTTAATTCTTACTTACATCAGTTAGCCTGTGACATACCATTCATATCATTATACATCATTTTGCTTCAAGTGGCAGAAGCTGTTGACAACTTTATTCGGACTCACTGTGTCATGAAAATCTGTCATCAGCCCTTGTCCATCTTGGTAGCTTATCTACCTGGAGATGACCTTAGAAACCACTGTGACTTTTTGGGGTGGTTTTCAGAATTTGTGCATATAAAAGAAAGTAAAACTATTTTATTCTTTCTACACTAAAATTAACGTATTTTACACACCATTCTACACTGTACTTGTTTTTGTTTTTGCCTGATTTGTAATATCTGTACGCAGAGACATTCTTTATACATTTTTTTGACACTGTATAGGATTCCAGTATGTGTCTGTCATTTATTTAAGTCTTCTGTTGACAGGTACTTAGGTTTTAATTTACTTAACCTGTATTATATTGATGGAAATTTTAGTAATTTCCAATTTAAAAAAGAAACTTAAACATTTTCTTTTTTTCTTACAAATACAACACATTGATTTTCAGTTTTTTCTTTACAACAGTCTCAAAAATTTTATTTCTCACAGATTTTCATTACTTATTTATTTTTTCTATTTATGGCATACTATGGGACTTTGTGCTAATTTTTATATATAATACTATTACAGTTCAAACAATTGTTGTGAATAAAGCCACTTGCATATACATTCTTAAATAAGAAAAATGGGTTTTCTTATAGGCATGTAATAATAAATGCGTCCTTGGTGATAAAAGAAAGTTAAGCCGTACCTTGAGGCATAGTGGTGACAATACGCAGAAATCTGGAATTTATTTATAGCAATATGTATTTATTCTTATATGTTTAAATTTCATTCACCTTCAAAGGACTCTCCATTCGGTACAATACACCTATCTAGACATTTTTGACTTGTTGATTTTGATGCCTTTTAGTGCTTCTGCCATTTTTTGTTTCACCTCTTCCACATCAGCAAGATGGTTCCCTTTGAGAACTTTTTTCATACAGGGAAACAAAAAAAGTCACTCGGACAAGATGGGGTGAATAGGGAGGTTGGGGCACGGGGGCCATGCCATTTTGGGTCAAAACTTCTGAACACTCAGTACAGTGTGTGCAAGTGAGCTGGTAACTCACCCATCATGAAATGGGGACACATGTTGAGACCATCTTCAAAAACAATTCACTGAAGTTGAACACAGCCTCTCACTACAGTGCCAGCTTGTGCACTAATACAAATGGATTTCTTGAACACTAGCCGAGTGGGGCGAGCCTGTACTACAAGAGGTCCGCCCTCCAGAAGAGAATTTTGGTGTTTTTTGCATCCCCCCTCGTACGTACAACATATTTGATAGGAAAACAATTTTATTTTTAAAGGCAACACCCTTTAAAACAAGTTGACCACAGGAAACAATAGTATTTAATTAACAACTCTACTATAAAATTAGCAATAAAAGTGAAATTCTCTAATAGAAGTCAAAGAAAAACACTACTGTTGACTTTATGGAATGACACATTAACTTTAGAATTCGTTTAAACACTAAAAAATGTTTAATTTCTGAATGGAGAGTGGTCTTCAGAGAAAGAGTATACTATTGCATCCCATTTTCTCTCCAGCATTGTTCTTTTTGTTTTTTTAAGCTCAGAATGTTTTCAAAACATGGAACTCTTTATTTTCATTCTTAAATAAACCACTTCTAATCTATGAATCTCAAAAATCAGTATTCCCTGGAGAGTCTGCTCTAGAGAGGTATAATTTTACATTTATATTCATTTCATGCATGTTTTTCAACATAGGATCATTCTCATCTAAAGCTAATCTTTATAGGACACTATCAGTTTAAGATGTAAGATACCGAAGTAGATATTTAGTAACAGAGAAAGTGCAAGTGGTGTCCCTGATTCATATTATTACTACTTAAAATTTAAAAGTAGTTTAATGCTTTTTGCTAGAATTTCCTAGAATTGACATTCAATTTTAGAATGCTTGCAAGTAAAGCTAAGTATGTATATGAAACATGACTTTAAGAAACCCATTTAGAAGTGATACATACACATGTATATGAGATTGTCACATCAGTAAGATAATCTTATTTTGTGATTTTATTGCACAACTCATCATGAAAATTTATTATTTATATTGAGAAGAATCCATTTCCTCATTAAAAAAGTTTTCTGCTGAGACCCAAAGACTGTTAAATAACCAAATAATAAATAACATAGTTATTAATAATCTTGAATTTATTTTTTGTTTATTTCAAGATTTATATTATTATGATTTTTCTCACTGCTAATATTTTTATGAGATGATAAATTACTAAAAAAAAAGTCTTATTGCACCTTGGTGTCTGTTGAATGAAGAATACAAAAGCTGTTTATAGTGCTCATCTTCCCTGTGTACCCTCTTACAACTAATTTCTCAGTGCTATGACTAACTTAATGGCCTATTATAATATGAGCTAGAGAGGAAAGTCTAGTGTTTCCGGGCTATGAACTGGGATCTGCTCATTCTTAGTTGAGTAACCTTGAGCAACCTATTCCATCTCTGTGAAGCTCAGTTTCTTCATTTAAAAGACAGTAGGGGCAGATAATACCTATCTCATTTGTTGTTTGGGGATTAAAAGAAATAACATTTGTAAAGTTCTTGGCATACAATAATCCAGGGACTGTTATCTTACTTTTCTTTCACTCCTCTTGCTCACTGAGATTTTCCCAGGGTCTTGTTCCAATAACAACTTATCTTTTGGGAGGGAAGAAACTTGATTCAGATTTTTTTTTAAGTATTACTAATACTCACCCTTTTTCATTGTATTTTTCAGCTCAATTCAACCTTCCAAAACTGGAACTACACTGTTTATGTAGTTAATATCAGGTAAATGACAGAGTGAATTATTTGAAAAATAAAAAGTAGTATTTAATTTTATACTGCTCTTTCTCTGATTATGCCTACACACACAAGCACACACATGGACATGTACCATTTTCATAATCTTTCTAAAAACAACTCTATATTATATTGTTTATTTGCATAAAAGTGTCAGTGTTGCAGCCATAATTTAAATAAATATTTTGATTTCGGATCCCAGTCATTTTATTTTTAAATTTAGCCTATACTCCCAACATATATTTGTGGTTATTAAGTAAATTATAAATAATTTAATAATTTATAAAAATATAAATATGTATATATCTCACTTAACTAATACATTGTTATAATGTATCGCTAATTAAAGAATATAAATACATATATATTTATATCTCAATAGAAGTTCCGTTAGTTTCCTCTCATACCCCTGGGGGTCATCTAGAGCACCCCCCTGGGTTGCATGCACCGCAGTTTGGAGACCATTTTGTACTAGATAACACATCTACAGTCTGATTGCAATTTAGCTTTTCAAAATTACCTTTCATGATTCTTCAATTTAAATACTACACTAAATCCCAAGCAAATAGTAGCATACATATATGCTCCTCTGCACCTTGTTTTCACAGTTTTATACTTAAACGAACTTCCTAAAATATATCTCATGAACCCTAAGCATATATTCTGTGTACCCAAGAGGTGTAATAACACAGAGAAATGTATCAGTGGTCAGATGAGTTCAAGAAGTACTGTATTTTGCCATGTACAATGCACTCCCATGTTTTTGACTAAACTTTGAGGAAAAAAATCTTTCATTTTAATTTTTTAATCCAGTTATTTATTTATTTATATTTAGAAACAAAACCGATTATCATATTCCAAGGTATTATTTTGCATATGGATATTGTTATTGCTTTCTAGAGTTACGCTTTTAACGCATAAGAAAAATTAAAGGAATTAAAAACATTTATATAGATATGGAGTTAGTACTACCCATGTAATGTGCATCCTTATTTTTCCCTCAGAAATTTGGGCAAAAAAAGTGTGCATTATACATGGCAAAATAAGGTACATTACTGAGCAAACTGAAGCAGGTTTCTATATATCAGAACATCTCAAATGCTTAAGTATATTAACATGCATTGTGAATCTTGAAAAGAGAGTAAAGGAACATAATTGCCAAGCTTATTTGACTGTGCAGCCAGTGTTCCGTGCATACGATAAAACGGGAACCTCAGAACAGACATTTGGAAATACTGGCTTAGAATGTACATTCTGCTTCTTTCTTTCACCTCCTCAAATTTTGTTTTTGGTGGTGTGGCAGATAGGTTGATAATGAATGTACATATTTTTATTTATAGTTTTCACCGGAATGTGGAAGAGGACAAGGTTAAAGTCAAGAGAAGCATTGTGGATGATCAAAGGTAACACTGAGAAAGTCTCAGAGAAAGTATGATGCCCTTTCTCCTGCCCTCTCTTTTGACTCTCTGGTAGAGAAAGTAAAACAGTGAGATAGGAGAGAAACATTTTAATCACTCAGCACATTTAGATTATTTCTTTATCACTAATGCACACTATTTTTTTTCTTATAGCTAAAACCGTAATGTAGCAGACTGGATGCAAATGTACATCTGATGAAAAATAATTCAGAAGTAGGACAGTTAAAGTGGATGAATTACTAGTTTTAATGTTTCCAGTTTATGATAACCCATACCTCATTTCAAAGAGAACTTCAAAGAAAAATAAAATTGTTGTAGCTTTTTAAAAAATAAGGTATTTATGTATGATAGCATATAATAATGTAGGTAATAGGTGCCAAAATATTTTCTGTATTTAAAGACATCAGATAATTTTCTGAAATCTCCATTTTAGACTTACATTAAGATCATGATTTAAGTAGGTAATTTAATGGATATGTCCACTATATAATCAGTTGGCATATAAGAATTAGCTACTCAGAATGCCATATACCGAAAAACAACCTAAATTCCTAAATGCAATAAATATAGTCATGTGTATGTGCTATATCATATCTCCATAGAATTTTAAAAAATGACTAGAAAAGCAAAAGTTTACATAAGTCTTGCTCAGTTTCAATTGACTGAATTTAAATTATGGATTTATAACCATAATGAAATAAAATTATTTTTAGGTGATATATTCTTATGATAAGAAAATAAAAATAAAATTTCATGTGAGAGTTAACCAGAGAGTTTTCTTCTTGTTTTTTTTTCCTTTTTCTATTCAATATTAGGAAAAAAGTTTTTAAAGTTATATCTGAAGCTTATCATTTCTGTATATAATCAATAAACCGGATTGAGCCACCAGATTAGGGAAAGTTGTTTTTATTTTGTCATTATTCCTTTCCTTTATGATCTAAAGAATAATGTATTCTAATACGATCTTCTTGATGGATATTTCTCCTCTATTTTGCCAAATAATGACTCCTCCAACCCTTCGTGCTAGTTCTTATGGAGCCTTGAATACAGAATCCAGCAATGACCAGGATCCCTTTGCTGGACGCTGTCTAGCGCCTGAGGTGGCCCTAGTTTAGGGTGTCACCAATGGCAGACTCTCTCTTAAGAGGTCAGCATTGCCCTTCTTAGCTTATTTATTGTGATTCTTCTTTTACCTGACAGCTTATTTATTGTGATTCTTCTTCTACCTGACAGGTACCAACACTAGTGTATGTCAGCACCTCAGAAACTCTTGCTTGAAAGACACTTAAAATGATGAAATCTCTCTTTCCTGTCGGTCAAACCACTGGGAACTTCACAAAATTTATAAAGAGAGCAAACTAAGACACTGTATATAGTAAAACCTACATATTTAGTTTTTCTTTGGTATGAACTCTTGACATTGTTTGAAAATATATTCTTAAAGTCTTTCTCACCCTCTCTTTTTTCTACTTTCTAATGCTCTTGATAAGCCTCTATAGTCTTTCATAGTTTTTTTCTAAACCATAGTCTACTAGTCTTACACATACTCTTTTTTCCAAACTTTCCTTTCAATTCGATTTTAACACTGACCACAGACCACAGCTTCAGATAACGCTATCACACTATCGCCTGGACAGGCAGGAAACCAGAGCCACACAGGCTGGTTTATTCAAATAAAGAATGATTGATGGTCACAACAGATAGAACGTGACTTTGTAGAACTATAAAATAGTTTTAGTTTTCAGGATGAGAGAGGAAAACACTCCAGATAAGACCTGTGGCAATGCATGGTCATTCTTGAATTGCTGAATTAGGTGTCTAATATCATCCACATTATATTGTGCTAATTATCTTCTCAATTTTCAAGAGAAGTACAAGGTTGCAATCTCAGATGTAAGTTCTCAGTAACTGGAGTGCCAAAGCTTATCTTTCAAGGATAATTTAATCAGTGGTTACTTTTTCATATGCCACGATAAAAATTGTTATCACAGTTCACTGTTATACTCACAACTATGTTTGTCTCATCTTGAAATATGACTTATGTATGAACATTAAGCAGATCATTTTAAAGATAAATAGCCCATCAAAGTTAATTATGAGAACAGTAGAGCATTTTGTCCTTGAGACTAGTATAGATATTTAGAGGGAAAATGGAACTCTTCTTTAACTTCACTTAACCTTCAATAGCAAATATTTCACTCTTTCTTTTCTTTTTAGCACCACAAATATATTAATACACTGACTTTTGTTTTTATTGACTGCCCTAGAATTTCATAAATAAAATATATAGTGCCACTCCACTGAGTGCTTTATTTCAAAAACAATGACTTTGGCATGTGGATAGTAACTGATATTGATAATATAATGACTTATTTATATTATTCATTCCTCCTCAGAATATGAGGATGAAAGTTCTATTGCAAATACAGAACTTTCACATACAAGAGAAAATGTTTCTCCTCTACCTGACAAAATAAAGTCATTTAATTTCACCTCCATGTTGAATTAATAGCTTTGATTTCTGCTATTGACTATAACTGTGATTACAGTTCAGCCGAAAATTGTACTTCTTCAAATTGTAGGGCGAAAAGTCCGGATAGGGCTTTTGGGATCCATTTCTGCTTCCCTCAGAGATATATTTTTTAAAAAACATTCAAAATCTGTTAACTTCTTCAGTAATGTGCTGGTCAGTCACTGAGTACATTTTGCCTACTTACTATGTAACTTTTCACTATGCAAAGTACTTGCAAATATTTCATGGAAATGGGAAATCATTTGTCACAATTCCAGAGAAATTGTAACACATTTGTAAGTAACAACACTAAATAATTTCAGAAGTCCCATAATCAGTTTAGTCATATTAGTTATAATAAGTATGTCCTTTTCGTGTATGTGTGCTATGAAATATTACTAAAAATGTTTCTCAGAAGAAATGTGTTGAAAGATAAAATTTTAAAAAATTGATTCAAATGACAAAAAAAGAAGTGGGATGATGTGATATATGATAGAATTATACATGCAAAATCCTATAAAATGTATTTACATTGAGACATTTTCAAAATTATCACTTATGCAGCAATAGAAGTCTTTGTGTGCCTTGGCATGTCTTTTTAGTGTCAACACATTATGGTCATCCCTCTTACTACCATATTCAAATGTCCTATTTTTCTACCCAAAAAAAAGCCCAAAACCAAAACAACCAATCCAACAACAGTTCTATCTGCAATGTTTCCCTAGGTTGACAGTTTGGGCCCTTCTAGTTTACAATGCTACCAACAATCACAATTTAGAAGGAAAAGTCATTCAGCAGAAACTCTTAAAAAATAATGGGTCCCTGGATGAGGACTTGAGGCTTTATACAGTGAAAGTGAGGCAACTGGGTAAGTGCCTTTAATTTTTTTTATAATATGTACTTTATATGACTGTATATTCAGGTTTAATTGAAACAACAAAAATAGTCTCCCTGTGTGTGTGCAGTTTGCTTTTTTAAAGCTGCTTTTCTGATTATGAAATTCCTCACAGCGGTGATAGGATAACAAATGGATGACATGGTTAGCATAAAAGATATCACCTTGGTGCCTATGAATCTAAGGGAATGAAAGGGGCAGTGGAGAGTTTATACTTTCTTTTAGGGGTGTATTATGAAACCACAAGTATGAGCAAAATTCCAGGATTGTCTTGATCAGAATTGGCTTCAACTTTAGGATAAAAGAGAGTGTGTATATGTGCATGGGGGAATACTAATGAGGTAAATCATGCAAAAGGCAATTTCTTATTATAAACATTTCCTTCTCTTATGTTTTCTGACTTCATTAATCACACCACTGGCTTTGCAGGAACAGGCCGGAAATCTGGGCATTATCGAAGACCTAGATTCAATTCTTACCTAAACAGCATTCATATCCTAAGCTCCAACCAGCCACACTGCGACCTTATTGCTTGCACCTGCCCAACACACCACGCTCTCTTATGCCTCCTTTCTTTGTGTTTGCCCACCCTGCTCCTCTCTACTCTCACCATTCACCTGCTCATCACCTACAGAGTTTTAAAGGCAGCCCAGAATCACCTCTTCCATAAAGCCTTTCTGACGTCATCTACATATAAACAGATTCTCACTGCCTTTGAACCACCATTAGAAGGCCATAGTATTTAACTGGACTTATGTGTGTTCTTATATTTGTTCCTGTTAAACAGGAATTTCCTCTGGCTTGAGAACACATCTTATTTTTCTTTAACTTCCCACCTCACCCCAGCACCCAGCACATTGCCCAGCTCCTAAATATTTAAATAAATAAATGAATGAGGCCTGAAGAGAAGATTTTAGAAAAGCAAATGATCAAAAATATCAGGCAACAGAAAATAAAGTTATTGTTCTAATGTTTCTCTTTGATTACAGTTATTAGGATTAGACACGTTAGTAGAGAGTAAAAGAAAACTTTGAGACTTGGCCTTATACACACGCAGGAGGTTGAAGCTGGGGAAGTGGCTGCTCCTCAGTCTCAAGGCCACAGTTGTGACTGAGGCTGGAATCACAGTGTAATAAAGAAGCAGGTATCTTTCCCTCCACGAGGAGCCACCCATCTCTAATGTGTCAGCCCACACAATTACTGGGGTCTCATAGAGATGGAGGGCTACTCATCATCATCGTCATCAGCAGCAGTTTCTGAGCCTCTATGGGAAAACGCTTGCTTATTTACAAATGGGGCCCTTTGGGGACAAGGTAGGTACAGATGCTGCCCTTTCACACGTAAAAGTCCACAAAGAAGCAGCTTGACGAATAGTCGTGCATGTGTACATGTATGTATGACAAAGGGGCCCTGTGAGGACAGCCCTTTCTCTGTCCTCAGAGGCTGGGGAATCCCAGGACAACTTGCTCTCTGGCATGTAATTTACACCACTTGATTTAAAGCCTACACTTTATTGTTCTTCTGCAAGTTGGTCTGTGAAAAAAAAAAGTTTCTACTAATTGAGAAGAAAATAGGGCTAAACTTTAACAATTTTAAGATGCATAATATAGGTGGGAAAATCATTTAAGTGTTTGAATAGTGACTGCAGTACTGGTTCCCAACAGGCTGGTGTGACTTGCTGTTATTTTTGGTACCGAAATACAAGATGTTGTTTTTGTCATTGTTGTTGATATATTGCTTTCATTTTGATGATTTGTAAATTGTAAAGCCTGAATCGTTTATGGCATGACACTTACCGAGAGGGTTTTCAGACAGCAGGCAGTATGATTGGAGGATGCAGGCGTGTGCATGAGGCGCGTGGCCTTGGCTCGCGGGGGCCTCCTTTCCATTCCCCCAGCAAACCGCCAGGTTTGCCTAAGATGCTTTCAGAGCAGCTGGAAATTTTTCCAGCAAATATCCTTGCAACTCAACAACAACACTATTTTACAGGCTTTCCCCTTTGCAAAAAAGATCAGAGGGGATTTTACATTTTGAAGTTTGCGGAACTGTTTTCATTTTATGTAGTGTCTATTTTCTGAATAAACCTTTATTGTACTCATTTTACCTGCAAAGTGTGTGTTTTTATATGATGGTTTTGTAAACTGTAATAGTTTTTGTACCTAAAATATAGTAAATGGTTATTTTTCCTAATTTCTAATTTTAGATTTTTACAAATTCTGACCAGAAAATTCTAGTATTTTATTAGTACATGAAATAAATACCTAATTACAAGCATTGTTGTTTTGCTGTCATCTTGTGCCTCTAATCTGAAGCATAGATTGATGTTTCTCATGTTGGTTCTTACTTTCACATAGGTTTCTGTCCTAAGGATGAGGATCCCAAAGGCTTTCAGTGGCCAGTCATCCCGCCTTCTGAATACAGGCAGCCTTGTCCAGGGAAACCGGGTTTTTATGCTTCACGGACATGGTAATACTTCTGTTGATTCTTCCTTGCAAACTCCACAGCGTCTACCTTCCCAGCGTTACACATGCTGCACCACGATTCCCAGGCATCATACCTTGTTTAGAAAGAAGGCCAGGAATCTCTGTGTGAGCCTCAATCATAACCCCCTGAGCAGTATAAATGAGGCAAGCTGGTTACCAATTAAAGCGTTTCTACCCCAGGCAGCATGCTAATTTAGCCTTCTCCAAAGAACAGTGGAGAACTTTGGAAAATCAGAGGGTGGCTCTAGAGCAAACACCTTATATATAGATGAACTTGAGCCAGCTCACAGTCTTTGAACATACATCTGATATTGCCAGATTTTAAAGCCACTTGGACTGGCTACTCTTGGAGCAGGAAGAGGCAGCCCAGGAAGGAATGAAGGCTATAATTGAACAACAATAAAAGAAAATAAAAATAAAACTATAAAAATATCAGATATAGTTACCATCCTAAAAGAGCATATGATCTTTTTGGTAAGATGAGATAAACACAATTGAAATGATTATAGAAAGTTGGAAAGATCAAAATAGAGGATCAGATAAAAGGGCAGTAGCCAGGAAGACGATGTTATGTTGACAACATGGGAAACCTTTAAATAAAGAGATGGAAACATTAAAAAAAAAGAAAAAAAGAAAAAAGGCAAGACCCAGATTAGGGCAGCGTGCTAATGAGGACTGTCAGGGTAGAGATTTTTCCCTGAATGTTGAGCAGAACCACAGACAGGTCAACTGAAAGTCAAATCCACTTCTTCACCCTCCACCCCACCCCCAGTTTGGGTTTCTGGGTGGGGGAATTCAGAAAAGAAACTTGGCTCCTGCTCTAGTGTTTGACATGTGCTAGGGAGGACAGAATGGCTGTAAAGACTTACTGGCCTGAGTGTGAAGCATGGCTCTACCTCCTTCTGGCTGGGCACCGTGGAAGATTCCTTGACTGACTTTAGTCTATGTCCTCATCTATAAAATGTGAACTATAATCTGCTTTACAGAGTTATATGAAATTAATGTCAGATTTTATCTGGGAAATTCTTAGAGCGGTACTTGACCCATCTTACCAAATATGGCTTTAACCTTCATAACCTGATATATCTTAGATTTAGCTATAAGCTCTTGCCAGTGTTTGGTTTCCATGATTCATGCAGTTGAGTTTTTTTACAATATGAGTTTAATTTCAGTGTACTAGAGTTTTATTTTCAAGTGAAACTTACACAGATATCAAGGTAGATTCTAAAACTTTTTATTAACTAATTTTGTCAGTTATAATGTCATTATGCCAAATATTATGCCAAATATTTGATATGCCCTTTTTTTGCTTCACAGTATTCGTGACCTTTCCAACACATCTTTAGCCATCTGGGGGCCTCCTGATGTCTCCAATTGTTCAAGTAAGTGAACAATTTTCTTCAGTTCTCAAAGGCAAATTGAAATGACCTCATACTTCACGGCTCTCATCCTCTCCAGGCATGTTCTTCTGCTGTGTGATACTCTCGTAATGTTAAAAGCTGGCAAATGTTTGTTTCACTTGCTTAAGGCAGAAAATGCTGTTTTTCCTCATTCTGATTTTCTGTTGCATTCATTCCGAAGGAAATTAAAAATAGCTTAAAACTAGAGAACACTTAAAATAATATCCAAATTGACATTTGTATCAATGTTTTATAGTTTTATGTTATTTTAAACAGCAAATATATACTTATTCAGTTATGCTGGTTACATTTATTTTAGAACTGTGTATGAATATTGGTCTCTCCAAGTTATTTACCTAAGTTTGTTAAGGGCATAATTTGTATATTACTAATGAGAGAAGTTAGTCTCCAAGTGTGAAGAAATATTGTCCTCCTGTGAAGACTGGGTAGGGGGATATACACAGAAAACTTGATTTGCTGCTTGAACTATGAAGTTAAATATCACACTATGTTTCAATCCTGGGATGATTAAAAAAACCACTTTATATGTTGTTACTTCTGCCTTTTTTTAGGGGAAGCAAATGAAGTTGCCAATCAGATTTTAAATTTAACTGGTGATGGGCAGACCTTAAACTCAGCCAATATTACCAGCATTGTAGAACAGGTCAAAAGGATCGTGAATAAAGAAGAAAACATTGATATAACTCTTGGCTCAACTTTGATGAATATATTTTCTAATATCTTAACCAGTTCAGACAGTGACTTGCTTGAGTCTTCTTCTGAGTAAGTGTTGCTTTTCTCCTGGAGAGTAAAATTTATTGGATACATGTGTTGCTATATAATTTCTCACATATCGGAATGCTTTTTGCCCAGATTTCATAATTTAGATCTCGAAGACCCATGGATATTTCCCAAGATCATTCACAAAGTGAACTTTGCATCTCCTTATTTCTTTGAGATATATAATTTACAAAATGACTAGGATTATTGTCTTGCACGATATTAAATAATCCCAGAAAAGCGCAATCAGTATTTCATTTTCATCTGAAAAATGTTAACTAGGGTTAATTTAAAAGATGAACAAACTATCACAAATATTCCATTTATGACTCCTTGCTCTCCTTTCTGGCTTGCAAAGGAGACCCTTAGCAAACATTCAACTCATAGCTCTTAGGCATAATTTTGTCACTATAAGTCACTGTCCAATGACCTGTGGCATGGAATTGCCACAGCTATGTTATTGTATTTCTGAAATGAAAAAGCCTAAGACAAGGGAGAAAATGTACCTATGTTTATACAGTTCAGTTTGTTTCTAATTATTTTATTTAATGTATTACTGTTACTTAATTTTTTTATATTTCCTTCTTTTCAACCAAATTTTTGTGATAAAAATTTTATAGTTGTTAAAATGAATTATTATGTAGGAAACTTACCTTATCTACATAATAATTACAAATTTTTTACAGTGTCTTACAGTTCATAAGATACTTTTACACATTATTTCCTTTGATTCTTACTCAGTTATGAGTAAGAAGCATGTTTTTCATATGAGGGAAGAAATAGGTAAAAAACAGTATTTGTTTAGGATGATATTAATTGATAATTTTCCTTGAAGGGTATATTTTTCTCTTGAGGATGTATTTCTCGATATGAGTCTATGTATTAATGGCTATTGCTGCAGCTTGGGTAATTCTGTGAGATCCGACAATTTAAACACAATTTTATTTGGTTTGTATTTTGTCTTGCAGCAAATCATGTGCGTGCAAGTACCCAAAACATGTTATTTAATGATGGTATTATTTGTCACTTCTTTAGAGCTTTAAAAACAATTGATGAATTGGCTTTCAAGATAGACCTAAATAGCACATCACGTGTGAATATTGCAACTCGGAATTTGGCTCTTGGAATATCATCCCTGTCTCCAGAGACAAGTGAAATTTTAAATTTTAGCATCAGTCTTCCAAAAAATAATGAATCATATTTCCAGGTATGAGCTGGTGGTTTGGGTAGCTAATTAGACAGGTAAAAACTTTCTGATCACTTACTCATTGCTCTTCAAGGAGATACTAGTCCCAGGGTTGGCAGGCAGGTCAGAATGCCGGCTAAGGTTAACAGTAGCGTAATCATAAGGTATGGGGATGCATAGAGGGGCTACGCTTTCAGAACCTAGGTGACAGAGGTGGGCAGCTTACCTTCTACAAGAGGTGACAGTGGAACTACGTATTAAAGCATGAGTGGGGTCCACCCTATTGGGGGTAGGGTTTGGGGATAAGTTCATTTAGAAAAAAGAACATTCTTAAGGGCTCAAAAGTGGGAAGAAGCATGGTGTATTCTCTTTGCCAGTGGCTTTCCCAGATGAGGGTTATAATCACAGACCTGGAGAACTTGTCAAAACAGACAGTGGGATCCCATTCCCAGGATTCTAATTAAGTCCAAGGTGGATCTCCCAAGATTCAGCTTTAATGAGTTCCCAGGTATGACTGTACTGCTGGTCTGAGGATTGTACTTTGAGAACTAATGACACACAAGCTTTGGAAGGACAGGTGATGGTGAGGCTGGGCAAGAGAGCTGGGATCAGAGTGATGGAGAGTCTCTTACCCGTTCAAGTGACGCTTCAGCAAACAGTGTCCAAGTTTCCACTGTGTGCTAGACAGTGTTAGCAATGCGGGCCGATGAAGGGACTGGAACATTGTCCTTGGCGTGGGAGAACACAAAAGTAGCATGTAGTACTTCTTAACTACATGGAGAAAAACCAAGGTAACATATTTTAAAGGCTGGACATAAGGAAGAACTTAATCCTTATAAAGTTTAGGCTCCGGGCTTTTAGGGGTAATTTTTTTAAAACATTTTAAAAAATATTTTATTTATTTATTTTTAGACAGAGGGGAAGGGAAGTAGAAAGGGAGAGAAACATCAGTGTGTGGTTGCCTCTTACGCACCCTCTACTGGGGACCTGGCCCGCAACCCAGGCATGTGTCCTAACTGGGAATCCAGCTGGGGACCCTTTTTTTCTCAGGCTGGTGCTCAGTCCACTGAGCCACACCAGCCAGGACTTTTTGGGGTAATTTGACATTTTGGGAATGAAAACTTGGTCAGCCTCAGTCTCATTCCAAGTCCATTTGCTGGGAAACACTCTTTGGCCTGATCTGAGGGTTCAGGACAAATGGTAGCCAAGAGTGTTTATAAAATTTCAGCTGCCTACTCTATGCAGATACTCATTCTCAGCAATGCAACAAATTAACTTTTCATTTTTTAAATTGGTAGATATTTTTCGCTGTGTATTTTGAGAAAAACTAAAAATTTATTAAGTGTAAACTTAATTCTTATATTTGAAACTGTGAACTGATCTGTGGATGTCTCAGTTCCCTTAGTTAATATCAGGGCACTTGCCACATTTGCAAAAACCCAGTGACATCCATGCCTTTGTCCTGAGAACAGTGCCTGGTAGAGGGAAAGGGCACCCTGGCCCTAGCCAAGGTGACACTTGCCTTAATCTGCATGTGGAGTCAGGTTATCATTGCCATGTCATTGTGATTACTGACCAGTATGTCTCTCTGTGTGACAGATGCATTTTGAGAGTGGACATGAGGATCCATTGGCGTCTGTAATTTTGCCTCCAAACATACTTGAAAACTTAAGTCAAGAATCTTCTGCAGCAGTTAAAAGAGCTCAGTTTACTTTCTTCAATAAAACTGGACTTTTCCAGGTAAGCATTTATTAAATTATTGTTTTTCAATTGCAAATTCAGTTTCGTTGCTTAAAGGGAAAATAAAAGTTCAGATTGCTTGGGGATAGATCAAGAGGGAGAAACATTAACATACTGTATTTTGAAAAATGAAAAATTTTAACATAATCGTTTCAATATTTATCACAGATAATTACATGCTTTTGAACAGATGTGTTCATTTCAATATTTTTAATAAATCAGATATTAGATTAAGACTGGCATGATACAGTTATAAATGGAATTTTTGGAGAAGCCACTATTTGCCTTTCCTTTTGTTAAATATTTAATGCTCTCCAGCAGTTTTAGACCTTCAGAGTTAAAGAAATTGTGTGCCAAAGGAAAGGTTTTGTTTTGTTTTGTTTTGTTTTGTTTTAATTCAGTGGGAAGCACTGTTTACACAATGAGCAGAATTCTTGGCTTTAATCAGTTTTCCCATTAGTATTTCAAATGACCTTTGGCCTTCACACATTCCCAGAGAGCGGTGGCATTGTGCTAAACGCATATTATCATTTTTATTGGCATCATTTCTAGATACTAGGAAGTCCACTGCCAACAAACTCTGGTGACCTCTGATTGCCTTTGAAAGTACAACCCCATCTAGAGCAATTTTACTCTGCCCTTCTTTAAAAAATAAAAATTATTCATTACATTGAAGATACCAGGGTATATCAAACAATGAGACCTGTGTAAGTCTCAAGGGAAGTAGATTGGTTTCTAACAGATCTGCCCTGTGTGCCACATGTGGAGGGAAGGCCACAGGTGAGTAAAAGGAATACCATGGAATCACTTACAGTAATTAATTCCAAAACTTTATAAAGTTTTATCAGCAAGTGTGTTAGGAAAAAGCTATATAGTTTTTTTTAGTAGATTAAGTATGTAATTACACATAATTACTTGGAAGAATTTAATAGCTATGAACACATAAAACTGCATTTGTGTAAATTATTTGAGGCGTAAAGTAATGTCACTTTTAAAAACAGTACAAAAAACACAGTAGATGTTACAAAGTGTGAGTGGTGGTGCGGAGGGGCTGTCCATTTAGAGGAGAGGTTGCGCCTGGCCAGAAGAGTTTAGGACAACTCTTAAGAGTTGTAAGAATCTCTCGTTATTTCAATTTGAGTCTTATCTTCTCCACACCATCTTTCCCTTCTACTTTGGCATTTCCCAGTCAATGTTGTTATTAGGAAACATATGTTTGGTTTTTAAAGTAAATGTATAGCAGAGTAAAGCAAATTTAAGGGCTCTGTGATTCTCTTCTCACAGAGTGAAGAAAATATTTTTTAAGGAAAAGGCTGAGTATCCCCAAGCCATAACCGACTTTACTGAGTGACCACACAAAAGTAATTTAAAAAAAACTATATTCTAGATGCTAAGATTTATTTGGCATACAGGAAATCCTGTACTTATTCCAAAACAACAGACTTTATAAGCTGCCACAGGGAAATTTGGGAGGTTTGATAAAAAACATGAGGGGAAGAAGAAAGGAGAGATATCTCACTAGAGAGACTATCCATTGATGGTCCAGATGTTATGCACAGAGTCATGAATTTGGTTTCCTGACAGTCTTGTCTCTGAAGTGGAAGCTACAGAAGAATACATTCAGAGAAGGTGGAATTCTGGAAGGGGCTTCAATCTATTCTGTTTAGTGTCAGTTAGTAAACGTGTCAGGCTTTTGGCATGGATGTGAAAGATGAATTGGTTTTTTCTTTTTGTTTTTCACAACATATTTCCTTCATACTTTTCTACAGAAAAACAACTTCGTCTGTTTTCTAGGGTAGGGAAGTGACCTAATTGGGTCATAGTTTTTTACGAGTTTCTGTTTTGTAGGGCTTGCTTCGTTTCAGACACTGAGTGGCCCGCGTCAGTCTCGGCAATCAGCGGGAAGTTTTATGAACATTGCCTGGCTGCATGGGCTCATAGTGTTCTCTCAATGTATTTAGTATAATAAGGGAAATAGCAAAGCTCCTTCAGGAAAGCCAGCAATTTGAGCTTATAAACAGGATGTTCTATAATTCAAGATCTTAAGTGTAAAAACTGCTGACAGCTTGCTTATTTTGGAGCCGCAAAATAAAACAAAAGTGTGTACTTCTGACTAATATGCAGGGTTATTTTTTTCTCTTAAAGGATGTAGAGACCAAGAGAGGCACCTTGGTGAGTTATGTGATGGCGTGCAGTATTGGAAACATTACCATCCAGAATTTGAAGGCTCCAGTTCAAATTAAAATCAAACATACAAGAAACCAGGTAGGAAAACCCTACACATAGCAATGGAGAAGACGGAGATTATTTCAGAGAAATATGGAGCCATTTTTCTCCATGAAAAGAAGTAACTGGCACTTTTTCTGAGGGAAACAGTTTCCTAATGGGGGAGAACAGCTTGTCAGGTTGAGCTCTAGTGTTATGATAAATGGTGGCAACCAGAGGAAATTAGTGTTAGCTTGGATTCAACAATCAGAAGGAGAAAGGGAGTGAAGAAAAGGGCCACTATTTCTAAGAAACGACATATAGTATTGGGGATAAATTAGGTGCAGATGCAGTTGTACATTCCTGCCGTTAAAGATTTCGTGTTTTTTTTTTAATTTTAATAATTTTTAAAATTTTTCAATTATGGTTGATATACACTATTGTATTAGTTTCAGGTGTACAGCACAGTGATTAGACATGTATATAATTTACAAAGGGATCATCATTACAAATCTAGTACCACCTGGTATCATACATACTTATTAAAATATCATTGACTGTGTTCCCTATGCTGTACTTTACATCCCTGTGACTGGTCTGTACCTACCAATTTGTACTCCTGAATCCCTTCATCTTTTCACCGCAGCCTGCTAATGCCCCTCTCACCCAGAATTTTGGTTTGTTGTTTTTTTTAATGTCAAGGTCACTGCTACAGGGAAAGCAGAGGGGAAACTGGGTTCCCTTATTTTTTTGAGAGGTTAACAGTTGGCTAAAATCATGGTAAATGCTTGTTTAATTGCTTCATTACCCTTCCTGTCATCTGTTTATCTGATAAAATTACGTGGGGGCTCGCATTGTCCCAGGTGGCCAGGCACACATTTCCCCCCGTTTTGTAGAGGGTCCCAGTCACCAGCCTAGCATTTATTAGGCAGTCCGGAAGGAGGGCGGGGAGTGAGCCGGCTGATAAGGACTGGAGCTTGGCAATTAAGTCATCTAAGAACTAGCTCCGCTTTGTCACGAAACCCTCTGACCTCCTTGTTTTACCCTTTGGCCTCCTTTGTTCCAGCTCCTGCTCCTTCACCTATAACAAATTTTTTTTTATTGTGGTAAAACATACATAACAAAATTTACTATTTTTAAGGGCACAGTTCAGTGACATTGAGCACATTCACATTGTTCTGCGGCCATCACCCCATCCATCTCCAGTCTGCTCTCTGTCTCTTTGAATGTAACTACTCTAGACACCTCATGTTAGGTGGGATCATACAGTATTTGTCCTTTGGTGACTGGTTTATTTCACTTAACATAGTATTTTCAAGGTTCAATTACATATTATAACATGTATCAGAATCTCCTCCCTTTTTAAGGTTGGATAATATTCCATTGTAATATATATATATATAAATATATATATCTCCCACACTTTGTTTATGTATTTATCCATCAATGGACATTTTGATTGCTTGCACTTTTGACTATTATGAATAATGTTGCTGTAAACATGAGTGTGAAAATACCTATTTGAGTTTTTTCTTTCAATTCTTTTGGGTGTATACTAGACATAGAGGAGAATTTCAAAGATGAATTTTACAATGTAAAGAGCTTTGCTAAATGCTAAGCATAGCATTTTATGATGGGACATATATAGTAACCTTTAGATAAATGAGTAACACAATTCGTCACGGGGTTATAGTTGATTTCCACTTGAAGTCGTTATGAGAGGAGAGTCCTCCTAAACTGCCTCCCACTCTTAGGTGGTATTGGCATGACTAACGCCAATCCATCTCTTTGTGAAAACCTGAGCATTTTATGCTTTTCCTGTGTCCAAATCATAGGGATTTTCCATTTGTTTTAAACACAACATGTTTATTCTTACGTTAATATAGGCAGTGCCGGATCCGATCTGTGCCTTCTGGGATCTGAACAAAAATGGTAAGTTTTCAAATATTGGCTGTTTTAATCACAACTGAATGTTAAACTTTGTTAGCCCCGTTTCCTTTCATTCCACCCCAAACCAGAGCGAGTCACACTGTAAGTGTGATGGCAACTGAGCTGCAAATTTTAGTTTGGGTAGCTTCGGAAGTAAATTCTCATTTCTCTGATTTTTTTTATTAATTGCAAGAGGAAATAGGCAGGCTTGGCCTTTTTTAAAAAAATGAAACAACCTCTTTGATTTCGGTTATTTATAAAATAGAGCATGCATTTTTATTGCCGTTTCACATGAACGTGAACATACAATCGATCTCATTCTCCTAGGACACTTCTGAGGACGTTTTTGATGTGCATGAGGCATATAATTAAAATTCCAGCTTGTGGACCTCAGATTATGGACTGAAGGACTCCAAATATAGGGATGGTTATAACAGAGATGTATTACTTGAAGTACAAGAACTGCCTCCAGAATGACATTTGACAGTCAGGAGGGAAAGGCAAACTGAAGGTTCTGATCACTAGGTGTATGGTGTGGAGATCTCTTTGAGAGGAGGGACACGTGATGAACCATCCTGCCTATGCCGCCTGGGGGTCACCGTCCCTTGTGGCTCCCCAGTGGGATTAGCCTGCTTCTTGGTGGCAGTGTAATCTGAAGATGTCCAAAGCTCTTTTTTTGATACTCTTTCTCACAGCTGGAAAGTTTTTTGTTATTGTTGTTTGGTTTTTAGTTACACAGTTTTGAGAAGATCCTGATTCACTAGATGCCTAGTTTAAAATGATATTACCTTGTATTCTTAAAACATTCTTCAAACATATGAATTGCTCATGTTCCACACCAAACCATAAATGTCAGAAGAGATGTATTAAGGGCATTTATCATAAGTTGTCACCATGCATGACTACTGTGTATATAATAGCATGTTCTAAGAAAGGCCTTCTTTGTTCTTGTGTCTTCACAAAAAACACAGACTGACCCAAGGAAAAGAATATGTTGATCTCCAAAGACTGTATACTAATGTATATAACATATTTGAAAAGGGTGTTCTTTTTATGAAAGTTTATCTTCTAACATATTAGAAATTAAACTCGAATCAAACTTTTGTAGAGCCCCTGAGACACTTCAGTGGAACACAGCTGAACACCGCTGGCGAGATGGCCTCTAGCTGTCCGCCCAGCCCTAACATTCTGTGATTCCAGGAATCTGAAGTATTCTAACCACTGGCAGCTTTGAAAATAGTATCCATGGTACAGATAATCTGTAAAGCAGAAGATACTGAGTGATACTTCTCTAAACAAGATATCATCCATTGTAGAGCTGGAACTGACCTGCTGTTATTTTCATACTGTTTGTTGACTTTCTCCTGCAGAAGGTTCTGGATTTTGGAACACATCGGGATGTGTTGTTGCAGACAGAGATTCAGACGCGAGCGAGACGGTCTGCCTCTGCAACCACCTCACACACTTTGGAGTTCTGATGGTAGGGGAGGATTTCCAAACTCATTTTAAAATGATATAAACTTGGAAGGCATACTTTTTTTGTGTGAGTCAGCCTTTTTAGTTTTTTGTGTTTGGGGAATTATTTCCTGATGATTTCCATCTATACACAGAATCTTGATTCTTATTGAAGAATTTAATGAGTAGAGATCCTATATTAAAAGTATACAAAAGTAATTGCAGAAAAGGATCCTATTTATTCTGTTGCATTAACAGTGATGATAAATAACCTAGAAGCAAGAATATCACCATGAGACTTTTGAATTAAGAGTGAAACAGAATCAGGGGGACAGAGAGAAAGGGATAAAGAGAAAGAAGAGTTAAAGAGGAAGAAAAAAATGTTGGGTTTTACTAACATGGAAAGGAACTGTGAAAAGTTAGATCAAGAGAGTGCTTTCCTGCCGTGACCTAATAGCTCAGTTGGTTGGAGGTTCTATATGCCAAGGTTGCAGGTTCTATCCCTGGTCAGGGCACATACAAGAATCTCAATCTCAATTTCTCTCTCTCTTTCTTTTTCTCTCTAAAATCAATAAACACAAATTAAAAATTCTTCTTATAATATGTTATTTCTCGCTGTGTTCGAATGTTACTTTGCGCCAGGAACCGTGCTAGGCGAGTCTCCTGGAGGCCGGCTGGCCAGTGGGAGAGCGCGGCATCTTCAGGCTGGTGGCAAGACAGATGATGGGGGCGGCTTTTTTTCTCACTTCTAGGCCTTCATTGTATTCTCGTCTCTCTTTTTTTTCTTTCTTTCTTCCTTTTTTCCCCATGGCCCTGTTTTTTTTTTCCCCTTATTAGTCAACCTATCCGATGATTCTAAACAAAAATTAGATTGCATCAACATGTTCTTCATCCAACCAAATTTTCAAGAGCTGCCTTACATCTAATGACTTGTTTGAATTCATCCACAGACTTGTACCTTCACCTTATATCCAATACACTTGTGTTTTTGCAGACACTTTTCTGGTGCCCAGTGTCCCATTCAGATCCTAGTAGAGCTGTTGTTTCTGTATAGTATCCATAAAGGTATCCAAGCACATGTGTTTTTTAATAGAAGATGGGAGTAATGTGTGCTGAGGCAATAAAGCTCTGTGAATTCGAATCACAGACACAGGGTTATGTTTATCCCCTTCCTTAAATCTTACACCCACTTCCTGTGGGACTGGGAGGAAGCAGAGAGGATGGTGTGATGTAGTATTTGGCTCATGAACCCACTTGGCCAATGTAAACGGCCATTGTCCTATGGCAGTCCTGCAAGTTGTAATTTTCCTGACAACCCAGTACCTAAATGCTCAGAATGATAAGAACAAGTTATTTAAAAGGGCAACAATCTTAGAAAATAACTTTTTAACTTTCTCAAAATATAAATATTTTTTCCTTTACCTCCAGAGCATAAAAATGAACAATTAAAACTGTAGCATGTTTTCACTAAGTGATTTAAAAAGATACTCAGTTTTCTTCCATGTTCTGTTTTTTCCAAAAATGAGAGCAGACATTCTTTCAGAAAACACTTTATGCATTATTACTTGTTACACACAAAATGCATCATTATTCATTCAGGTATATAAGCTTTAGTTTAATATATTTAACTACTTCAGTTGTGTTTGCATGCATATGTATGTATATGTGTGTTTGAGCATGATTGTGTTGTAAGTTAATATTAGATAAATAAATAACAGTAACACAATTCACTGTTCAAAGATGGTTTATATGTACTTTGAATATTCAGTAGTTTCTTCAAAGTTGTTTAAATATTATCCTGAGTTTGTAAGTATGTATTTTTTGTTGTAATTTGATTAAATAATTAGCTTTACATATGTGTATGGCAATATGCATGTTTCTTAATGCTCTCCATCCATTTTCCACCTTGGCTGTTTTTGTGAGCTTAGAAACTGCTGGAAGAAAAATTTTCCAGATTTATCCTTTCTGGCAATGTGCCACATCCTTTCAGCTCTCCAGACCACCAAGACTTTGTTCAGAGTCTTTCTTGATTTACAAACCATTTACTCACTGGTACAAGATATCCCCAGAGTCTGCATTGCTCTGTGACATATTTAGCATATGAGAAGCTCAAAAAATATACCTCAGGCTCATAATTATATCTTCCAATATACAAACACATGAAGAGTTTAATGTCTCTGCTACATTTCTTTGTAATAAGGCTGATTTTTATATTTTTAATATCAGAACATTTGCATGTTGGCAAGTTCAGGGAAATAAATATTTGTGTATTCTTCATTCTCAAAAAAAGATACAAAACAATATGAGAATTGTGTGTAAATGGATATCACCAGTAAATAGCATTATGTTATTTAATTCACATTTTAAATGGATTGAATTGTGGTTTGCCAATCTACTGCCTGACGTTGGTAGCAGCCATAGGTCCTTAAGTAGTAATGACAAGCCCTTTGGAGATTCCTGAAGACTATTTTCTGGTCTAATGAAATATTAAGTAACTAAAATATTAGCTGAGGTAGCGCATCTGTGAGTCAAGGGGCATGGACTCGAACACCATCCCATATGCCATGGGAGTCCCAAGTCCCCCTCCTGTTTTGAGGGATTCCTAGAAAGGACAGACAATGTCCCCTCCAGCCCTGAGCCCATGCACCTGCTGAATTTTATCACTTTATGTATCTCTTGGTGTCACAGAGTTACTGTCCCTGCTCCTGACTGCATCAGTCAAACCTGGGACTAATTCCCATGTCTTTATTTCACACACATGCACGGTACAACAAACACCACTTACAGGAGGCCTTAGTGTGTGTAGCAGGTTTTATTGACCTTTTGGTGAAAATCAAAGAAAATTAATAGCATATAGGATGAAAAACATAACACAAATTATTTTTTCATAATTTGGAGTACATCTCTCCTCCAGTTGGGCTCCATTCTTGAACATCTGCCTAATGGAGATGCCTTTCTGTTCCAACCAGGATTGGGTGGCTGGTCATAACTCAAGATCTATCCCTATACCAATTACCCAATTAAGGAAGGAAAGAAACAATTCTCTTCTGGTCCCAGGCTTTGGAAATATGCCTCAACACAGTGAAGTTAATACTTTTGATTAATATGCTAGAAAGCGTTTCCTTCTTTCCACTCCGCGGCAACCCCTAACATTGTAAATGCTGTCTTTCCAGGTCCACTGAGATTAAAAACAAAAAACAACACCTACGACCCCAAAACTCTTAGTGGCTTCTCATTTATGAGAAAAGATAAACAGCAGCCCAGTGACACGTACCGACCTCTGGGGTGACCACAGTTAGGAGCCTCAGCACCCCTTTCAGAATCAGACAAGCACAGCGCAGCACCAGCCTCCGGCTCTCTGCTGGCCAAGCCCCACCCCACCGGGCAAAGAACCAGGGAGCACCCGAGGGCTTGGCCATGCGGGCCACCATGGCTGCCGTTTAAACTTGTGCCCCCAGCCCTGCAAATATTAGGAATGGGCTGGATAATTTATTATGCAAGGCAAGGACCTCCTCTTCAGTTTCTGTTGTGGAACCCCATGGTTTTGCTCTTTAAGATATGCTACCGTGCAAAGAGCTTGGATAACAAGGTATTGGATAAAAAACTGTGTAACTCCCTCAATAATGCTACATTTCTGGTTCATGGAGAGATCCACAAGAGTATATAATAAGTGGAAGTGTCAATACTGATTTGCGCTATTGTTTTCAACCTCTAAGTTTGATCTGAGATTCTCAGTAACCAGCAATGGACTTTCTCCTAAGAGCTTTCTTATGAAGGGAGAGATTCTCACAGCTGCTTCCCATGTTTTGTATAGGACCTCCAAGGGACTGCCTCACAGATAGATGCAAGGAACACTAAAGTCCTCACCTTCATCACCTATATCGGGTGTGGAATATCAGCTATTTTTTCAGCAGCAACTCTCCTGACATATGTTGCTTTTGAGTAAGTATTTTCTATCTACCACACTCAGTGTTAAATGTTCTCAAATGTGAATAAGAAATTGCCTCAGCTTTTAAACACTTCCATGCACTTTGTGAGTCATGTAGGGTAATTCTGTTTTAATGTTTAGGTTTCTCGTTAAGATATATCAGGCAGCATGAACCGTCCAGCTGTAGACTCTTAATTTATAATCAGTATATTTCTTTTGATAAAATGTGTTTAAACCTCTTAGAGATGATTACCATATAAGTAAAGAAAAATTGAATTCAGTGTTTTTTACATGGGAAAAGATGAAAACGTTTGCTTCACAAATCTTTAAAAATTAGTCCTAAAACAGGAAACTTTGTTTTAAGGATGATCTTCACCTTATTAAAAACCAAGAAACTTGAAAAATATTTTAAGGAAATTGTTTTTTAACAAAAATATCAATTTTATAACTCTAGAATTTTCCAGTATGGAAAAAAATCGAGCTGTTAAAACCAATTGGCAATTTTGTAAACAATTGGAGGCCCTTTTGAAATAAATTTAATATTTAAAAAATTTTTTCTAATTTGCCAAATGCTCATAAATATCATTCGCCCTCCACCTAGTGGAAGCACATCATCAAGATGGTGCTCTCTAACCTTTTGCAGAGCAAGACATAAATTTACTTCCTGTGCTTAAAAGATTCATGTACAATATTTGTTCTCCAATATCTTTTTTTCCCCTTTGTTTAGAAAATTGCGAAGAGATTATCCCTCCAAAATCCTGATGAACCTGAGCACGGCGCTGCTGTTCCTGAACCTCAGCTTCCTGCTGGACGGCTGGGTGGCCTCGTTCCAGGTGGAGGGCCTCTGCATCGCCATCGCGGCCCTGCTGCACTTCTTCCTCCTCGCCACCTTCACCTGGATGGGGCTGGAAGCGATTCACATGTACATTGCTCTGGTTAAAGTATTTAACACGTACATTCGCCGCTACATACTGAAATTCTGCGTCATTGGCTGGGGTGAGCCTCCTGAAAATCTTTGCTTTTGTTTGCACTCTGACAGCGATCACCACATTCTGAGAGGAAAATGCCGTTTCGAAAGAACAGCATTGCTGAAGGAAACTTCCAGTTTGCAAAAGATGTGGATTTGATATACATACCCTAAGGAGGGGGCTTCCTCCGTACAGGATTTTACAAAACTGTTCAACATGCCTCACTAAATGCAGGAGTAAAGGCAAAACCCCTAGCCCCTGAGTCACCACAAACCTATTTCCTGTGCCCACAGCCAGCCAGACAGTGGTGGATTTCCATATGTTTCAGAATATAAAGGCCAGCTCCGACTCCTAGCTACATTCGCCCCTAGACACAGGCCCATGTCTTAGAAACCAGAGAGAGAATGCTATCGTTGTGTGTGCAACCAGAACACTGACAGAGGTCTTGCCTTGCACTTCCTAGGTGGTTGTATGAGCCTGTCTGGAATTTTCTCAGTGGGCTCCTTTCTTTATCTGGGTTTTATATCAAACCAGGCATTTTAGAGCTTTCACACAAACCTCTTTTTCAGATGGCAGTGGAGAAACAGGAGATATTTCCAAGGTGATCATCATGTTAGGAGGCACCTTGCGGGGAAGTGGGATGGTGTCGCTTTCTCCAATGACATGCACGTGGACTTACTTTACTTATTGAATCTCTTGAGAAAAAAAGGAAGACTACAAAGACTTTATAGTCTCCATGTTTCTCTCCCATTTTTCCTAAAGGCTTTTCTTTATAGACAAAGGGGTAAAATAAGCTGGAATTCCCTTAGTGGCTGAACTGTGGCGGTCTAACAGGCATCGTTAATGAAACCACATTTGCTGGTCCTTAATTCAGTATAAATCAGGTTCTGGTTCTCGAGTGGGCATGCGTAAGCAAACAAATATTACCCATCTGTCATTTAAAAATAGGTTTTGATCATTGCCAATTAGAGTTGGATGTTCCACACTGAAGAAGGATTTTATTGTTGTCTTACCCACTCTGCCAGTTTGAAGGAATTTGATTCGGTGATGTGGAGTGTTTCCTTTCCTTCGTTTCCCTTGCCGTTATCAGTCATGTACAGCAGCTCCAGATGCCTCAGAAAAGTTGCTCACGGCTTGGTCTTTTTATAACAGGCTTACCTGCCTTCATTGTGGCGGTCGTTCTAGCAAGCAGAAACCAAAATGAAGTCTATGGAAAAAAAAGTTATGGAAAAGAACAAGATGATGAATTGTAAGTCATTAAAACTTCTCGGGAATTTATTTGTGATGAGTGCATATCCTTTGTTTCCCAAAGTTTAGTTTAAGTTTCCATGCCAATAGTGAGTCCCTGTCTTAGGAGGTAGACATACACATGCGTGCTTTGACCAGGATCTCTGCCGTGCCACCGGTGGCCTCGGCTGAGTCACCTGAGCTGTTCATGCTGCTTTTTCACACTAGTGTGGTGTCGTCAGCTGGGGGAATGCGAAAGTCTAAGATACTATCTCCCAGGCTCAGACGACCCCTCCTACTTGAGGAGATTTCATAATACTCCCACCTCCTTAAACCCACATACATCTTTAAGTGAGTGAAATGACTGTGTCAGACAGTAATGCTAGTGATTCCATGCCAAGGTGAGTGTTACGTGGAAATGGAGAGGATGGAGACATCAGTGAGTTCTTGAATAATTTGGAAAATTTTCTTCAGGCTGTGAGATCATTGAGGCTAAGGTTTTTATATTGGTCACTGTTGGCAGTTACTGCTCTCATATTTTATGCAGCACACAGTAAGTACTCAATGAGTATTGATTGATTGAGAATGAGTGAGTGAATAAAGAGCTTACTCTTGACTGTGATTCCACATTACTCTGCGCCTTTCACCATGGATAGCACTTTTATATCCACGTGGTGTCCACACCTGTCGCATCCCCTCCTAGTCTTGCTTTAGTTTCCGTTGCCACGGTAGCGCCCAAAAGACCCCACGATAACCAGCGTGAAATAGAGGCGTATGGTCAGGACTTTCAGGATTTTAAGGGGACTGCCATATGTAAAGAAATACTAGCTTCAGGGATAAGCAGTATTCCTTTGGGGATCTTTACAATAAGATACATTAAAAGTAAAAGTCAGTACATAAGTTCAAAATTAGGTAATTTTAAAGATATGTTGGTCAACCCTTAGAGAACTTTACGGTACACTTAGTAAACTGCTGTGCCATCTACACTGTCATTAGTGAGCATTTACTACATGCCAGGAATCATGTTAGGTCCTGGGATTAAGGGACGTTCAAGATAGTTTTTGCCTCTCTGGCAGTCACGTCCCACTGAGGAAGACGCCACCCAGAATGATGACTATTGACACCAGAATTTTAAGATGGATTTAAGTGCTTTAAATAATATATCCAATTTCTCAGGTACCTAAGTACTACCACAGTAGTATTAGGACCTGGGGCATCTGCCAGTTGCAGTATTTGTTCAGTTTACTCATAGACTACCCTACACATAGTAGAGTTTTTAAATTACTTTTTCAGGTCTATGTATCATTTTGAATACCAAGTGTATCTTTCTTCATTTTATAAGGATATTGTAAGCAATATAAGCTTTTTAGTTGTGCATGAAAAGTGTCACTTTAAGAATATCACAGTTTTAAAATACAGTCTTGCCTCAACTGGACCAATTATATTAATAGGAACTATTTTGTCTGCAGTATGGAATCCACAATTATGTGTGTCTTAAATAAGTAGGAATTTACTCTTCCCACATGACAAAAAAAAAACAAAACAAAAAACAACACACATAGAAATGAGCAGTAAACTGGCATTAATTGAATGGCTAAAATTTCAGGGCCGCAAACTGCAGCTCTCCTGGCCTTCATCTCCTGGGCGTGAGGCGGTTGCTGCAGCTCCAGCCCAGAGCCAGCTTTCATGCCTGAAGCAGAAGGAATGGATAAGGGCCTTGCCAGTTGCATCTATTAAGAGTAGCTCTCCCAGAATTTGCTTCCATGTTGTTTTGTAGAACAGTGTTCACATGAACCCCCGTAAAGCACAACAGAGATTGAGACTATGAGTACTTAAACGTCCCATTCACTGATGTGCAGGCACATAAGAGAAAAGGGGGTTTGAGCCAGCCAAGGGTGTCGTCACACCAAGTCAGAATTCAAGTGGCCACCTTGTTTTCTTCTTAACTCATGACCTAAATAACTAGACAGTACGATGATAGCTATCCAAAATAAACAAATTAAAAAAAAAAAAACTATGAACACATCAAAAAGGAAACTGAGGCCCAAGAAAATGAACTGACTCTCTAGAGGTATGTGAGAAAGGCCTCGCTGTAACACCCGCAGAAGCCTGGACTAAGCCAGGCCAAGTCTTAGGTAAACAGGCATGGTAATGCATTTCCTTTTCTTTCTTGTTTCCTCTTCCTTTTTAAGCTGTTGGATTCAGGATCCAGTGGTCTTCTACGTGACCTGTGCAGGGTATTTCGGAGTCATGTTTTTCCTGAATGTTGCAATGTTCATCGTGGTGATGGTGCAGATCTGTGGGAGGAACGGCAAGAGGAGCAACCGGACGCTGCGTGAGGAGGTCCTGCGGAACCTGCGCAGTGTGGTCAGCCTGACGTTTCTGCTGGGCATGACATGGGGCTTTGCTTTCTTTGCCTGGGGACCCTTACAGATCCCTTTCATGTACCTCTTCTCCATCTTCAATTCATTACAAGGTAAGAAAATTGGTGCCTGAACAATTCCCACTTTCCAATTTCATCCTATTTGCAAAACAGCTTCACTACCAGGCAGAGCCATGCTAAGTTTCTACATCACTGTGCCACAGTTTCAGGTATGGGGGATGGGTCTCATAAAAAAGGTCTAGAAGGGAGTATGGAGATAAAATGTCAGTTTGTTGGTTTTCAGGGAAGTATCCCAAGGACTAGGACAGTGCCTGGCAGACGGTAGGTGCCCCGTACACATACGCCACGGTGTTACTGAAGTGAGCAGGGAGGTGCCATGGTGGAGGGGGGGCGCGGATTTAAAGGGTTGCACAGGCAACTGTCACCCGCCTCAGGTCTGCTGAGTGTGGGTGCTGCTCTCCACGGAACCCCTTCCCAGGCGATGGGCTGTCCTTGCCCTGAGGAAGTTTTGGACTCTATGCAGGGGAAGAGCAATTCATTTTGATTCCTTGGCTGCTTGGATTTCAAAATAAATGCCAATACTGTAGTTCACAAATGCTTATTTTTTTCATGCTCTATGGCAATTAGTTCAACAACTTAACAAACACTTGCCAATGGCCTGCTTTGTACGAAAAAGATATGTCTTTCTTCAAGGAGCCTTCTGTCCTTGCTTCTGATTCCCTAACACATACCCTCGTGTACATAGAATGAATTTAACTTTAAGTGAACGTAAGTTATGTTTTGAAAATTAAACGACATTCTTAAAGACATTGGATAGACCCTGTTTTGATAAACTCCTTAATGTTCAGAAGCACCATGAGGTCCACACTCCAAAATGAATGAGGTGACAGAGTTTGGAATCTTTTTGAGCAGGGTAGTACTACTGGCCTACCTGGAATTACTGGTATGTCCTAGTAGGTGTGTGGGGAAGAAGAGCTGACTGAAGCGAGCTGGACCAATCTGTGCGGGGGTGGAAGGTATGACGGAAATCAAGTCTGTGCTACTCACCCATTGAGAGGCCTAGGCAAGTGCTCCCCACGGGTGTGCTCGGAGAGGAGTCTGTGTGGGCCTGCGGGAGAGTGTTTGCTGCTTTGGATTGCACGGGCCTGCTTTGCTTTTCTTCCTTGATTTCCCCACTAGCTCATGAGCTCCTGCAAAGAAACCTGTCACATAGTTGGTGCTCAACCATTGTTTGCTAAATGAATTAAATGGAGTGCTGGACAAAGAAAGGGAGAGTCTGTGGGGATGGCCTAACTCCAACCTGAGATTGCTCTGGCGTAAATCCTCATTAATTAGTTCAGCAAACTTTATTCAGATTCACTCTCCCATGACCGAGGAAATATACGGGCTCATTATCTTTAATAAATAAAATATCAAGCCTTGAGTGCCACTCCAAAAGCTGGAAATGGACAAGGTAGCATATGCAAACATCTTTATTGGAATATAACTTTGTCAAGTGACTTGTCCTCTATCTAATCTGTTCTGTAATATATGACATAAATGTGCCTAAATAAATATTGACAAAAACTTCCATTAACATTAGAAATTTGAAATTCGATGGTTTTGTATTTCAGGGTTGTACATGAAAGGCACATTAATCTGCCAGCCCAACCTTGTTTTTGCTTTTAGAATTTCCTGGCAGTTTCTGTAACTCCCAACAGCTACAGTTGTCTGTTCGGCTCTGTTTCCATTAATGAGAAATGGGATGTTTTATTTTTCCCAGCATAGGTCTCCTGTCAGGAGGGAAAAATGTTATAAACCATCATCAAGTTATATCCTTCATAAATCACTGACTTTTAAGACTACATTTAAATTATATAAATTTAGAACAGATTTCTGCACATCCAATGATATTAAAAATACCTCCTAAAAAGGAAATTTTATTAAAAGGCAGTGACACAGAGCACATGAGCCTACCAACAATTGCTTACTGGCCAAGCTTATACAAAAACTTCTCAAGACACTGTGGAAAGTCAGTTAATGGTTTTTATTTGAGTCATTTTCTGAACTTCCAAGAGATGTATGTTGTTAAAAATATATGCTTTATTAAAAGAAATGTGTATAATTTAGACAATTTAAAGAAACAATTCAGTTAATGCATAATGAACTCAGGTGGTACTTAGACGAACTACATTATGTCTATTTCTGTTCTTTCTGATATTCTTTATTCCATAAAAAAACAAAACAAAACTTGACATGATCCCTTTGCCTCATTGAACTTATATTCAAGTAGGAGAGACTGATATTAACCAATTATGTCACGATGTAGAAGTACCTGGTTGTGTTGGGAACAAATGACAGAAGACATGAATCCCAAGCTGAAATCTGAAGGGATTAACTAGGTGAAAGTTGGGAACAGAAGTGGGGAAAAGAATATTTCAGGTAGATGGCACTTCATGTGCAAAAAATTTGGTAGATAGTAAGTCCTCTCTTAATGTGGTCAATAGGTTCTACAATGTTCAACAAAACGATGTATGAAGAAACCAGTTCTACCAAGGGCTCACTGAACTGATACACGAGTTAAGTTCCTGTGTCATCTCATCAACTTTATAATGACATTAGTCAAAGATCTGCTATAGTTGGTGGTTCTAACATCTGCTCAAGGAATAAATAGAAAGCTCATATAACCTGAGAACCGGGAACGGGCAGGAGAGTGAAAGTGGTGTGGCCCAAGAGGGCGTCAGGGGCTGCACCAGAAGGCCCTGTGTGGTGATCTTTATGAGAGCACTGCGACGTTTTTGAAAAGTTTCAGACTTGTGAAACGACGTGATCAAATGCGCATCTTGTAAAGGGGAGGCCGGAGGTAATGTAAAGAACGGATGAGAGCAGCCCCGCAGCGTCTGCAGGGAGAGCAGAGAGGAGGCTCTGGCAGCGGTCCGGGCGAGATAATGCGGTGTGGTGTTTCAGACTCTGGTGGGAATGGGGGCGCCAGGGCCATGTGAGCAGGAGCCAAGAGAAATGGAGGACGTTCGCTCCTCAGGCCACTCATCATGTGGGCATTAAACGCTTATTTTTCTAATGACTTAAGTAAAAGGTCCTCTTATTAAGGGAATATTATAGTTCATTATAAGATTTAGCACTGGCCAAAGGCTGAGAATATAATACAGTATTCTGAACACTAAAACTATGCTGAACAAACTTTAACCTTCTCATATTTAGCTCTTGTTGAGCATCTGGAAATCAGCAGGGTCTTCACTATGAATCGACTCCAAATGCCTGTAGCTTTATAGACCTGGGGCCCGTGGGAGGGACAAGTGTGTGCGCTGGGTCTACAGGGATGTCATGGCATGGGCATCACAGGAGTGCCTGGGGCCAGCAGGTCTCTGTTCACTTTTGTGTATGTCTTCAAATACTTGGTTTAAACATGTTTAAAATGATTTAAAATAAATGTATGTCTTTGGTCAAAACATGCTAAAATTTTTAGAAATAAATATATTTTTTAATGTACATATGTGTTTGTATACAAATACATATATACATGTAAATTATATGGTTACTTACATAAATTTGTGTGGCCGATATATTAAAGTTTTAAAAATGCTTTATATTTTACATGGTTTATTTTTATATTTATTTTTTGTTTCCTATTTCTATTATTTTTTATATATATTTATTTTTATGTATACTTATTACTGTACATTTAATGGCCAAAAATCATGTTAAATGGGTATCAGAAAATTACTATAATCTTTGTGGCTATAACTAAAAATTTACCTACTTGAATAAGCAAATGAAATCATGAGTGGAATCAAGGTGGAAACTACGTTTTTTATTTTGTAATTTTTCCTAGTATATTAGTTTTTTTTTTAATTTTACCTACTTCACATGTTATATAGTAATCATTTCATTGAATATTTGTATCTAAGACAAAAAGGCAAATATGTCTTTTCTTATCATGGTGAAATTCCTTATCTATCTGCTTTTGCTCTCTTTACTGCTTTCCCAGAATGAAACTGGCATATCATTGTATCAGATATTTTAATTTTTTCTAAAGAATACTTATGAGAAAAAATTGTATGGCATACAAATTGCTATTCAGAAGAGAACAGATTTTTGACAAAAGTATATCATAATTCACATGCCTGAGAATATTAGCCTTCGTTTCAACAAATATGTAATTCATCCAAAAGAAATAAACGGCAACTCCCTGACTGCTGAGAAGCTCTTGGCCGGAATCCTGATGGCATCTCTGTCCCTTGGCAGCGCCGATGCCCTTGTAGGATTGAGTTATTGCTCCACGGTGCAGCACGTGCACACAGCTGCTCACTCTACAGTGACGAACAGTATCTCAGACTCTATTTCTTTCCATTAACTGCACAGAAGTATTTGACACTCTCAATTAGATTAGGCTTCTTCAGTCTATAGGGAAGTTTAACTCTGCCAACCAGTTCATCAGGATCTAAAAGTCTAGCCCCATACCAAAAGCTTGGTCTTCAACTTTCCTTTTCTAGGCATGTGAAACAACACTGATTAAGTCTCAGGTGTCATCAGCCCATTTTCTATAAATATATGTGACAACATAATAAAATGCAATTTGTGTTTCTGCAAATAGAAACTGTGATGGCAAACACAGAAGAGCATTATCAGCCTATTCAGATACAATGTTGGCACTTAATTAATTTGATAACATTAAGATACCCAGAGCAACAAAAATGACTTATATTTGTATAGTAAATTGTGGTTTACAAAGCACTTTCACATAGCTTCTGTCATCTGATGTAATTCTTGCAGCAAGTCTAGAAGGTCGGTATCCAAGAAAGAGGATATTTTCTCCATTTTATAGAATGAGAAACAGTCTCAAGAGAGTCAATGACTTTCCCAAGATCAGTTTGAATGAGACAATGTAATATTTACAATGTAACATATATGCAAATAGAAAGGCACATTATTAGGAGCCAGAGCATAAGCAAGAGAATAAAACAAAGTATTTCCCTTTTAATTTTTTATTTCAGAGTTTCTAGGAAGTGGATATGTGCCTCCATTAAAAAGAAAGCTCTTACTTAGTAAATATATGTTTACCGAATAACTATGAATTCAATCTTTTACCCTTATTTGGCAAAATCATTAAGGGAGATACATTAATTATTTTAATGCTATTGTAAACTAAAAGAGTTAAATCAAATTTCTGACCCATGGTCAGAAGACCCAACAGTTACCTTGTACCACAACACACATCGTGAATTGGTACCAAGGAAATGAACCACCTTTAATCCCTAACATCTGAAATGACATCATGTTGGCTGAGACATTAAATATTGCAAGGAAGTAAATTACTCATCTTTTGGCATGAAATTTTGTGCCACAGAGAAGTAAATTTCTAAAGGGCACCATGGTAATATGAAAGGAGGATTCAAGAGGTTCCCAAAGTGCTTCCTCAACCTGAAAGAGCTCCAGCCCAGCAGCCAGCTGGCTGCATCTGTGTGACAACGGAACACATGAATTGCTTGGAGATTTGGACTCAAGCTTGCTAGGAAGATAGAAGTCACCTAGACCTTTTTTTTGTCAAAAGTCAGTTATTCACAGCATGTGGTCTCTTTTGCCCAAACACCTGCTTTGATTAATTCTTCTTCTTTTTTTTATTATCTGCATGAGGACATTTTTTTCATTGCTTTTAAAGAGAAAAGGAGAGAGAAAAACATTGATGTGAGAGAAGAACATCGATTGGTTGCCTCCCCTACACACCCGGGGAGGGGATTGAACCCACAACCCAGGCATGTGCCCTGACTGGGAATCGAACTCACAACCCTTTGGTTATGGGACGACTCTCCAACCAACTGAGCCATACCAGCCAGGGCCACTTTAATTAATTCTTGACTGATTGATTGCCCTATCAAACCTCCAGAACCGTGTCTGCCCATGGATCTGATGAGGTTACCATTCACTCATCAATATTACTCATTCTGATTCTATCCTACATCCCTGGGGTTTTCTATATCTGCAGTCATCTGCTTGACTGTGTTCCTGGGTCTTCCTTAATCCAGGGTTACAACAAGTCAGCATAGACTATTTGTCAGAATTTGTTGAGGACAATCTCACTGAAAGTGTCAGTGGCCTTTAGTTGGTCAAGAACTCATTAGGAGATGAGGACCCAAGGATTTATTTTGTTTTTTCTTCACCAGACTTCTTGAAAATGACCTTTCAAAGCAGCATAAGAATGACAGTATGTGCTGCCCCGAATTTCTCTGTGTAGCATTCATTTTCATATCCAAGGGAAACAATTTTTTAAAAACTTTTGATAATCAGGCTAAAGATCTGAGAACATTCCTTCGGCCACTCATTTTACATCTGCCCCAAGAAAGCCACATGTGTTTGCCAGGGTCAACCAAAGGGAATGCGTTCTATGTGGGAGCCTGTTTCCTAGCCAAAATACTGAGGCTGAGATGCTCTCCTAAATAGCTCTTATAAAGACGGAAATGAAACACAAGCCCACACAATCTACAGTGAGTATAATGCCAATACTTACAAGCAGGCTGCCCTCCCCCAACCCAAAACGTGCTATTTGAATGTGTCCTGAGATAGGTGAAAGGACAAGGCATAAAAAACCAAACCCATCACTTTTTCAAACAGTTTGTCACTCCAAGTTTAGAGCCCTCTTAGGCGTCCCTTCACCGTACCTACTGACTCAGCCTTGGCCTGGGGTCTCCTTCTCTAGGAGGCTTTGAGGACGTGGGTTCCTCACAGTTTCCTCTGTAACAGCACCCATAGGCAGGCCTGCTTTCTCACATACTTTGCACACCCTTCCTTCATCACAATTGAAAATGTCATTTATTTTAAATGAGGAAATTATAAAACTGACCAAGAATTAAGACATCCTGAATTCACATACGGCTCTGTTTTGTTTTTTAAGTGAGCAGATACCACTAGTTAATGGAAGATGGACTTAAGGCAAGAGAAGGCAGGGCTGAGGGTGGGTTGACCAGTCAGGAATCTGTTCAAGTAAGTTTTTATTTTTCTTCTCATCCTAGCATGGAGTATGGGTTTCTACAGGTAAAATTAAACATCCAGGAACTTAACAAGCTGAAGAAACTATTGCTAAGGAACTTAGCCTTCGACTCATCACTCTGGTGGTTTTCAGGCTACAGTTCACCAAAAAAGGACCTTGATGAACTCTGTTTTGTGAGATATAAAAGTTTCATGAAGCTAGTGCTTAGCCTGTCAAGATGAAGTAAAGATTTGAACTCTGAATTCAATCCTTTGAGCCCTTCGAGCTTCCAACTTTTATGGGCAACGTTCCCTACTCTGCAGTCACTTAAATAAAGCTGTAAGACATGATGAAGAGGAAAGGCTGATTATTATGGTCCCCAGTCACAGCTAAGAAAGCTAGAGAGCATATTTTTCCAGGTATTGGGAAGAGCCGCTTAGGTGCCATGCGGTTGACACGAAAAGTCTCAAAGGGAAAACATTTGACAGAAAGGGAGTGGAGCTGGGGGTGAGAAATGAAACATGCTTTTCCTTGGATGTCAACATAGAACTCGTATGATGTTAGTTCTGCTTCTGCACCCAAATCTGCAAGAAGATGGGGGAACATCCCTCAGAATCGAAGAGGGAATAACCCTCAGTGTTCTCACTTTGGCCTCCAGGCACCTTGGCTCTCCTGCTGTGCTTTTGCTCCTCCCTCCTGAAGAGTTAGAATTTCTTTCCACACTGTGTGCATGCGCTTTTTCCAGATGGACACTTACTGTGTCCCCATGGTGGAACTCCACCGGGGATGCTTTGTCCTGAACGAGTTTTGGTGTATTGATTGCCAGACTAACCTGAATTCCGGTGAAAAGGATTAGGTATCAAAAAGGGTAAAACAACCTATTATGAGAATTTTCTTCTGACTTGAAATAGAAATGTGTCTCATGACAAGAGTCTTCATACTACCTTGGGATTTAAGAAGATATTCATTCCTAAGACTCCTAACTTTTCATGCCTATTATCTAACGTGTCTTACTGCATCACACATTAGAGAGACAGAGAATGGAAATGACTTTTCCTCTGTCACATAATTTTAGAGGCAATGTATCGGAATTCTGAATCTATTTTATATACCACTGTCTCTTAAACCTGTTGGACGCCTACCTGTTTACAGGCAAATGCTGTTGCTTACATATAGGAATGTCATCTGATGCTATACAATTAATTATGACTTAGAGCAGTACTGCACAGTCTAAAAAATGTTCTTGTGAAGTCCATGTCATCCTACATCCCACCTCCTTCCCTGTGACTGCGGTCCGCGGGCAGCCTCACCACAGTCCGCTTTTTAGCGTCCCAGAGAGGCCAGAAAAGCAAATCCGAGAACTGGTTCTCTTCCAGGGTCCTCGGAACACCTCCGAAGTTTTCCCTCCAGCGTGTATGACATTTATAAAAACTACTGAGTTGGGGATTTCTGTAATAGTGTTCCTAATAAAAAGAAATAATTTGTGATTAAAAACAAACAAACAAACAAACAAAAACTACTGAGTGTTAAGGGGAGGCAACATCTAGCAAAAACTTCACCTTCCCCCAACAAAGACTATGGTTTGCTCAATGCGAGGCCCCAGGCTGAGTAAAGCTGGGGTTAATGCATAGGAAGGAAGGTCCTCAGTTGGAGTTTATAATCTCTTTCAGCTCATACGTGATTTTGTTTGACAGTTGTTTGTTTAAGAACACATGCTTACCTGTATTTTCAGCTATGTGACAAAAACACTTCCAGGAAGCAGCCTGCAAACTCTGCCCTGGCTGACAGATGGAGGCTGAGGCAGGGGGCAGCCTCCTTCACTGTACCTGGGCTGACCTTAGCGGAGGCTTGCACGCAGCTGCTCCTTCCTCTGAAACTGTCCCCACCTCTTAAAAGCTCAAAAGGATCTGTTAACCAATTCAAATTATTTATACATGTCAGCGAAGCATATTTACTTATTAAAGGGATTTTCGGTATTCGCAAACCTCAGAAGGAATTGGGGGCTGTTGGTGTGGGAAGCCTTTGAAAACCAGTAGAATTCGGTCAGAGTGTGAAGATGAAGGTCCCCCCTACTCCCTGGGAGGGTGGATGAGCCTGCAGGTCCTGGTTTTGAGGGGTTTCCAGTGTGGAAGAAAATCTTCCCCCCTTCTCCGAGACTTCACATGCCCCAGCACCAGACTGCCTCCCACAGCAGGCGAAGACAGGATCAGATACGAGTAGCAGTTCTGGCTTTATCTGAGCCGCTATGTTCTTTTCTAAAGGATCAAAACACCTATCACATACTGCAAGATTCCTTAATATCTTTTCTTCCAAGTGACTCAGATGTATAAAAAATTTAAATTGAAATGAATCCATGTGCTTCATAAGATTTATCTTTAAAAATGTGTCCATTGGCTGACATGTTTATATTTCCTTTTGTCCCAGGCTTGTTTATTTTTATTTTCCACTGTGCTATGAAGGAGAATGTTCAGAAACAGTGGAGGCGGCATCTCTGCTGTGGTAAATTTCGGTTAGCAGACAACTCGGGTAAGCGGCCTGTTGGTACTTGGTTTTCACATCTAAGAGTAGTAGTGGGAAACATTTGTCATTTGCTTTTCCCTTGCCAGAGAAATCCAATCCCAATGGTAGCAAGTTATAAAGGTAGGGTGTGGAGTCTTAGAGTATTAATAACACAAGAGATCTGATTACTCTAGGCCCAACCCTTCTGTTTGGCAAAGGAGAACATGAAGTCCACACAGGTAGAGTTCCTCAAGGCTTTATGTCTAGTTTAACAACTCAGCTATCCAGAGGTTCCACTAAGCCATTGGCACCTTCCCATGTTTTTGAGGTCTGCATTAGTCCAAGAGATTTTTCTCGACTATAAAAAAAGTACTGGAAGAAAAGTATTACATTTTTTTTTTATTACCATCAGTGGTTGCTTCTCACCCTTAGGTCATTAAAGTGGGGTTTTAAACAATATTTTACACAAGATCAAAGTAAGAAACTTGTTTCTTCAGTTTATTATTGTTTACATCGAATGCTCTGGAAGTGTCCCCCCTACAGCAGATTCATGCGGAAATGTCATTTCTTTCAGACTGGAGTAAGACAGCTACCAACACCATCAAGAAAAGTTCTGATAATCTAGGAAAATCATTGTCCTCAAGCTCCATTGGTTCCAATTCAACCTACCTTACATCCAAATCGAAATCTAGCAGTACCACCTACTTCAAAAGGAATAGTCACACCGGTAAGTCCTCTGACCATGGTGAAGGTGTTCTCTGATACAGTTCTCATCACGTTTTCATTGTGAAGATCGGCATATCATGGAGATGGCTAGATCACAATGTCCATTAGAGTGCTTGTCTTACATTTATGGAAATCAAAATCTATGTGAAGACCTTATCCAAAGCCCGTGTGAATATTTCGTCTTTTCTTTTTTAGATTTTATAACTGCATTGAATCTACATAGCCATGTTATCATTGATTCTGAATATTTTTGTAACTTCCTTTAATTCAAAACTTAGTTTTCTTAAAAAAAGTATAGTATCTTGTTTAATAAGTTATGTATTTTATTTAAAAATTGTGTGTAGAAATTGAGTTGCAGGTTATTTCAGCACAGTATGAAAGTTGCTTGGCTAGTTTGCAAGGGAACCGAAAGGAACACCATAACACCATCCAGGATGCATGTTACCTCTAAGAATTAAATTGTTAACCATTGAAAGTATTATTGGCAATTCTGTTTAAATCACTGATTAAACAAAAAAAAAAAAATGAAAGACTAGAGGACGCCCTATTTGGAAAGGGATATAGGATGGTGAGAAAAACCTTATCTATGTTGATCTCCAGTATCTTCATAATATTTATAATGACGACATATTCCAAGCCTAAGCCCATAATGAACAGTCCTGAAGACAACATGGAAATAAAGATGATTTTGCGGTACTTGAGAGCCAGTGACCAGTGAGATAAAGTATAACCTTTTAATAGTTTCAAAGGAAAGTAACAGAATTGCTACTTTTAAATACTGATGAAACATCAAGCAAACAGCTCTCAGCACATTGCCCAGCACTTTCCTAATAAAAGATGCTTCTGAAAGGATACTAGGAATAACTTTTTAATTTTGTATTTGTTTAGCTGTTGAACATAAACAGAGGTGAACGGCGCATTCATCTTTGGCTTTTGGCAGAGAGCGGTGTGTTGTGTGATGTGTAGGTGTTCACACTGCAAACACTGGCATTTCCAGGGCCCTTTTGCACATGTGGAGCCTTCCACCTGTCCCTGCTTACCCCGGTGCCTGTGCCCCCCGGCTGGGGCAGCTACTGCCTGGGATTCAAGATAGCGCTGCAGAAAAATGTTTGAGTGTACGGACAGCTAATTGATTCCAAAACTAATTAGAGAAAGATAATCCAAAAACTTGGGACAGTTTAGGAGATCCTTGGAGTCAAGGATATTTTCGGTAATTTAATGAAAGCTATAAACTCTCTTCCAGAATCAGGTACAACTTTTGAGTTCTGCACACAGTTTTGCCTAAAACTAAGAGCTCTGTCCACCCCTGCTTGAAATGCCTGTGTAAGAAAATTAATAACAGGTGTTGCCTGAGATAATCTAAGGTAGATTATTCTACCTAATGGGTAGTTTCCTGGCACAAAATATCTTTTATTAATAATGAATGAGTTTTTCACTTAATATAATCAACCTTAAAATGGAATACTCATTTGGTGTCCCCTTCTAAAATACAAATAGATTATACATTATAAGTCAGTTATGAAAGAGTAGGATTAGACCTATTGAATTGTCTTCCTCTTAACCCAGCTGAGAAGAGCTAGCCTCAAGAAATGCCTTTATAAAAATGGGAGAGAAGATAACAAGGCACATAATTTGGAACAGGGGACATTTGGGAAGCATTAATGAAATACTTTAAAGTCATCCGGATCATTGGGAAAACTCACTAAAAGATGAAAGGAAATGCAGAAATGGAAAAACCAAAGAAAAACTTTGTGTATTTTTTTTAAAGAATTCATTAATGTAAATTCGTCTTGATAAAACTCTTGGTGTTAAATGGGTCCTTGTCAGCTGGCATAAGGATATAGTCAGCTATGTGCCATACTTCTATGATATAACAAATTCTGGACTCCCATCAATTAACGTACAAACGGCCTTCTGCTACCGAGCCAGTTCTCAGTGGGACTGCTGGGTACTTGGGTGACTTGGAGTATGCAAGGAGTCACTGCATATCATCATGGATATCTAGTTGGTTTATTTCTTGGAATTGATCTAGAAATTCATATGTTTATGGTGTAGATAATGTCTTCTAAGAGCATTCCTTCAACAAAAGTGGATCATTCAGGTAAATTTTATTATACTTTTTTGAATGCATGAATTTCTCGCAAGGTAATAAGAGAATATTTGCATGAATGAAACTAAGACTCTGCTGCACCAACAAAATTGCTTGTTCTTTACAATACTTAGCACAATGACATTCCTGCCCTGAGCTGGAATTTCTGAAATTTCAAATGGTTGTTTGCTGTTCTGGCTCTTGTCTGCATGGCGGTGTCTGCATTCCGCTCCTTCTAGGAAATGTACCATGCTCTGGAGTTAGTGAGTCTCATGTCAAGTGAAATAACAACAACAACAACAAAAAGCAGTACTTGAGTTTGTGTTAGAAAGGTGTAAAGTGAAATTCTTTCCTTTTTGTTGCTCTTATGAATTACTGGTATGTCATGGTACATTCATAGAAGTCATAAGAGAGAAATTGTCAATTTCAAGCCTGCTTTTTGAGGATTTTATCTGCTTAAAATTTCAGCATAGATCAAATAATAGTTCATTTCCCTAGCCCGTGGTTTTCAAACTTGCAGCTATAATCAAAATCTATAGTGCCCATACTGCTGTAATCTAACCAAAGGACAGAGAATAGCATACATTTGATATACAACACTTGCTCAGAATTTTACTTTGTTAGACTGTGAAGACCCATAAAATGGGTCACATATAGGGAATGGAGCTGGTTAAAATCTCCAAAAGGTACATAACCCTGGAAGCTATCAGTGAAGCAGAATGAGTATATCCTTGAAGTTTCTTTGAGGATGTGTAGTTTTTTAAAAATACCAAGCAAAAAATTGTTCATTCTTGAGATATATCAATAGAAAAAATCCGTAACAGAAAACCAATGGCTAGTGACTGTATGAACTGAGAGAGCACAGACTCAATCAATGGGCCCAGAGCTAAGAGTGGGAGGGGCTTGATACAGTGATACAATGAATGCTCTGAGCCTTTTTCTCACCAATCCTTGGACATAATCATTCTGGCTGCTTCTGTCTGCCCATTCTTCCCATCAACCCTGCATTCTCTCTTGCTTCCTTTATTGTGGGATGGACACACCATTTCCTATTCAGCCTTTTTTGTTTGTTTGTTTTTGGTGTCTATTCCAACACAAGGTAACAGTTGAACAATTTGGGTTGTTTCCAAAGACAACAGATATAACCATGATGACTTTTACAATTATTGAAGGATTTTTATTGTTTTTGCATATACTGGGTCTAACTTACTCAAAACAAGGAATGGCTGGAAGCGAGCATTACAATATTAGAATCGTGATTCCTAGAAGCAGATTTTCATGTTAGAGTTTTTGCTGCTTCCACAGTGACTAGAGAAGATAGAAATGTAGGGAACGAGTACTTGGTAGAAGGTACATTTTAGAACAAAAATGTATTTAACAGTCCTTTATTATTGTCAATTTTCTGATATTGCTGTCAGCAATAACATGATTCTGAGACTAGTAGAATTAATGAGAACATATACTTAAAATATTCCTGATAGACATTTTTAATTTCTGTAATTTAGACATAATTAATAAAAGATTCTTTTTTCTATATTCCAAACACTTTATAAGATAAAACCCATTGGAAAATATGTTCATAATAGCCTTTTATATGTATTTTCATTCACTTTTATTCTATAAAGATCCTTAAATTATATTTTGATAATTTTTTTATTTAGAAAAGTGTCTCATATATATAAAAAGTAGAGATGATAGTATAGTGAATCCCCTTGTACCTAGAAGTCAGAGTCACCTACCCATTTTCCCCTCCCTGTATTATTTTGAAAACATATCTTAGACATCGTATCATTTCCTCCATAAGTATACCAGCATCTTTCAATTCATTTGTTACCTAATCTGTCACTACTTCTTTTGAGCCTTTGCCACATTTTTTCTTTGCAGCAATTTTCTGGTTATTCATCAACTTTTTGAAAAATACCACTACAGGAACATTCCTTTCTTTCTTTCTTTCTTTCTTTTTTTTTTTTTTTTTACAGGAACATTTCTTAAACTCCAACACAAATTACTAGAAGGCAAGTTAACACCGGTTTATCCATAGGAATGCACTTTGAAGATGAACAACATGACATTTTAGTGGTACCTATTACCTGGCTTGAGAAACAACCAGAGCTTCATTTCCTCAGTGTCCTGTTTTAATGTACAAAATACAGTGTCCAGTGTGGTGGCCCTTAGGCATGTCCCCAGCTCTTCCTGCGGCCTAATTTCTTTTATTATTTCTTACAGACAATTCTTCCATGGACAAGTCCTCATCAAAAGTGACCCATGCTGATGGAGAGCAAACATCAATCATCCCTGTCCATCAGGTCATTGATAAGGTCAAGGGTTATTGCAATGCCCATTCAGATAACTTCTATAAAAATATTATCATGTCAGACACCTTCAGCCACAGCACAAAGTTTTAAAGTCTTTGACACAAGAAAGAGGGATCAGTCTGCAGAAACGTGATCTGCCAGCAGTGGAAGCTGTGACTAGCGGGTGTAAATACGCCGTTACCTAGGTAACTGCATATATATGAGGAATGTATTTTGTTAAAATGGCTTTTGTGAAACTCAGAATTTGTCTTTTCTTCAGTGTAGTTCTTCCATGGGGAAGCTTCTATCATCACTAAAACTTCAGTACTGGCAGCAACATGACTCAGTAGCCACAGGAAATTTTTTAAATATGTAATTGGATTAGACTAATCAGAGCTCACACGGGGAGGCTTTAAAGTTAGAGGACAGGGGGAGAGGCTGAGCTAAGGACAAACACTAAGTTAGAGCTCATTCATACCCCACCTAAGAGTTAGGTTTGGATGTGGCTATTTGCTTCCTCGAAATCTTTCTCAATTAAAAGCATATTTCTAACTCTTTTGGTTGCCCACAGAGCCCATCTCAGCAATAGTTTCTGTGAATACAGTGGCACATTTCCTCTTTTTCAGTGAAACTTCAACCATGGATACAAAAGAAAGTCTAACCTAAAAATCAGATAGGAGTTTTTTCTTACACCAAATGTTTAACCTTCAGGAATATAGCATACTTAAGAAAGAAAGAATTCCCCGTATTTCGACCTAGTTAAAATGAGGCCATGCAAGTTTATACTGTTTCACTTATCCTACTCCAGTTCCAGTTCTGAGGCTTAATTAAGCATCATTAATTATCATTAATCCCTCACATTTGAATCAAGTTTAGTGTGGACCTCCTGGCAGCTGTTGAAGAATGAATCTCTCACACATCTGCTCTTGCTGCCCCGCTATGTAATGAGCTCACGGCTCACAGGAGGCATGAGAACTCCCACTGGGCATACTGTGTGTAGCAGCCTCTCCCTCGAGGGAGCACAACCATTGAGAATCTCTCATTTGGCCCTTGCTCTGTAGACTTTAAGACATTTAAAATTGCACAAATGAAGAGCCTCTCACTTCCCCTTTTAAGAGTTTTGTTCCAAGGAATATAAACCTAGACAAATGGGTGACTTGTCATAATCAAAATAATTTATAAACATGTGGGCCTACAATTGCTAGTCTAAAACTATTTGTACATAAGTCCTTTGACTATAAGTGCCAGAAGAGGTCTGGCAAGGTAGATGGCGTGTTATTTATGGATTAGATCTCTGCATACAAGCCATGCATAATATTAAGCAGCTTACCTAACTTTCAAATTATCCTGAGTAATAGGCTTGCTAGTGAATGTTTAGGAGACCAAATTTTAATTGTTCTTAAATGATGAATTTATATCCAGTTTCTTACCAGTCAATCTCTGTACGTGCCGCACCCTTACATTTGCTCTCGGTTACCTGGTAAGCATCAGACTGTGGGAGGTGGCAGCGTGAGTGCTGGGAAGGCGAGGCATTCTGGAGCCCATCTGTTCCAAGGCAGATGCCAGAGCCAAGCCCCTGGGGGCCTTTCCCTCTGTGCAGAAAGCAGGTAGCTCTCGGTCTGAGACACAGGAGAACAGGCAGGCTCTGCAGCCGCCACGGGGCCTCTCACCTTTTGCTCTTCTTCCTGAAGCTCTTTGCCGGACTTGGGTGGATGATATGATGTGGTGGTGGATTTTATTACTGTTCCACTTTGCGGCAGCATGGACCCCTGTCCTGGGTGACGGGGGCGCACTGCCCGGCTGCGCTGTCACAAGGGAGGGGTGTACATAGTAAGGAAGGATAGAAAATCTTAAAATCACTAAGATTCACTATGGCAGAGCCAAATTCTTTTCTGTAGGCATATATTAACAGGATGCTTATTCTGGCAGAGATTACATAGACATGAAAATTAATCTTAAATAATCACTGAATCTTCATATACTTTCCCCAAGCCTTAGGAAGTCACGATAGAGTTTAATTAGCTTCCTACTGTGAAATTTCTACCTGAAGTGCTTATTGAGTTAACAATGGTTAAGAGATAGCTATAAAATGACTTTGATTTCTATTCATATTTATACCTATCTGGGAAAACCTTTTTTTTTAATATATATATTTGACAACAATGTCAGCTCCACTTTAGAAATGCCCAGTCACCAGATGAGGAAAACAGCTGAATGGGAACATTTACAAGGGGATTCAAAGGCTAAGATATACTCTACTCTCAGCTCGAAGCGTTCAGTTCTCACCTTCACTTCACCCCTCCGAACAGAATTACAGGGATGCAGCTGCGGGGCCAAAATGTTCTTTAGACTGACTTTGAGAATAATATCAAGTCAGACTCTCTTTTTTCTTCTTTATGATTTTTTTTTTTAACTACACTGTATTAGAGTCTTCGTCTAGGGTCCCGAGATATTTCCGCTTGTAGTCGCCATTACTTGTACTGTAAAGCTTCTCTTTGTTCATTGTTGTCATAGACTCTTCTGTACATATTTATTTATTTGTGTTTATACACGTCAGTGTGTCTTCTATCTTAGCTTTATATCGCCTGGCTTTGTTATTTTAATTAACTTTCTGTTGCAGAGACTGTATATATATATATATTTTTTTTCCTTGAATACTTTGTGAAAAAGATTTCTGGAGCAGTATCTTTGAATATGATGAATAAAAGTGACTGTGAGTGCAAATTGGAATTAGTAGTAAGAAGCTACTAATGGTTGATTTGCCATTGTACTTTCATGGAAATGTTTTTCAAATAAATACTTATGTTGTTTGTGTTCCAAATTATTCAATTCTTTTATGAGCAAATGTTTTTGTTTCTGACTCTTAAATAGGAAAAGATTATTTGACAGCTGGAAAATAACCTGCCTCCAATTAAACTGGTGACAGGGGCTATTTTGCCAGAACACTGAGAATGAATATGTTACAAAGATCCAGTTTACTAGAGATTAATGCATTTCGAAGGTCTTAGATTTTAAGATGACTGATGTGACGCCAAGCTCTGTGGCTGATTAAAAGTAATGTAGCTTTCTTTTTGTGGGACGTCCTTAGCATCCCCCCCAAAAGGGAACTGAATCAGTAATATTATGTAGAAGCGAGGTCCTGGGATGTTTTCTCACATTTATAGTTGCTATTTTCATTGTGGGAGGCTTAGAAAATGACAGAATTTAGGCCAGAACCCCCGCACTTCCTTTCGCTGTGGTTATTTCGGAGAACCCTTTCCTGCAGAGAGCCAAGGCCCCATTTGGCTCACAGCCTTACTCCATGCCTAACTGCGAGGTGCATTTGCTGGTCACTGCTAAACGGGGCCTTCTGAGCCAATGTTCACAACTCCTGGCCAAACTGTGTTAAGAAAACAGGCAACCAGCTGCTTCAGATTCATCTGTGCGCAGGTTACTTCAGAGAGCTTGGAGTAGGTGGGAACCAGCTATTTGATTTGCAGGCTGACCTGTGTTTGTAGTATTTTGAAATCTGAAAGAACTGGGCTTATGAATACAGTGTTTTAAAAGCATTTTTGTGTTTGCAGTTGAACAACATTCTACTTTTCTCACATGAAAGCATTAAATCTCTCTCCCCCTTTCTCCCTCCTGCCCTCCAGCTTTCCTTTTCTCTCACTTTTTCTCCCTCCCTCTCCTTTCTCCTGCCCTCCCTCCCTCTTCATTGATGGAAGAAGTCTTTTTCTGCTTCCCTAGAGAAAAATAAGAATAAATGTAAAATATTGAAATGTTTGCCCTTACGTTCTATAGCCTGTCAAAATATGGGGGGAAATGACATGTTTTATTACCACAACTAGCTTCAGCCTTAAAGTAAGTAATTTGGATCTGATAGAAGAAAAAAAAAAAGAAATCTATAAACATGTCTGGCTACCTCATACTTCTTTGCTTTCTCTTGTAATTTTCATCACAATTTGGGGGGGGGGGGGCGGGAGCCCTGGGGGGAGGGATACCAATCTCTCATTTGGGAAAAGTGGTGATTAAAGACAGTAAGTAACCTACCTGTGGCCACAGAGAAAATAAGGGGAGGACTCAAACCTAAGCCCATCAGACTGTGCTCACTCTTACCGTCAGAGGACCTCTTCAGAGAACAGGCAGCTTTGTGAAGGAATGTAATTCAAGGTCAGGATCAACGCCATAAGATTGTGATAAAAGCTTTCAGAACTTCAGACAAAAGCTCTGAACTAGCAAAACATGAGTAAGGACTCAGTCTTTGAAGTTGTGATAGATGCTGATTGGCCTCCCCAGGGGGGGTAGGGAAAGTCATTCCAGACATGGAGGTTGGAAAGTCCAGGGCAGCGAGCGGAACATAGCTGAGGTTTGCTTGACTGTGGGGTGTGTGGGAGAAGGCTGTGGAGCTGGGAAGAAGCCAAAAGCAGGCCACAGTGGACGAGCTGAGTGGCTGGCTGGGTGGGTTTCACCCATCAGCAGGTACAAGGGAGCCACACAGGCTCTCTGCGAGGAGGGAACCGAGTCCAACTGGAAGGTGTGTGTAGAAGGATAATTGGAAGGCAGAGTGACTGGACACAGGGAGAAGAGTGAGGAAGCCGCGGAAAAGTTGCTAGAACAGGAAGGCAGCTGGGGAGCTGTGTTGGGTCTCGGGTGCCCGCGGAGGAGGCCTGCCGAGGGGCTTTCGAAGCAGCAGCAAGCCCACCTTCGGGCAGGGGCTAACTCTGCGTACTTAGCAGTCCTGTTGTTTCCAGGTGCCTGGGGGTTAGGGAAGCTAAGGAACAGAGCAAGCATTTCAAGAGGAAGGAAGGGAGGGAGAGAGGAAAAGGAAAGGAAGAAAGGAAGGAAGAAGAAAGAAAGGAAGAAGAGGAGGAGAGGATGGGGAAGGAAAGGAAGAAAAGGGGAAGGAGGAAGAAAGAAAAAGTTCTTTATGTCAAGAAATGTGGTGAAAAAAGAAAGCCCTCACAGACAACAGTATGGTAATTACCATGGGAAAGGGGGATGAGGGTGTAGGAGAAGGTTCAGGGGAGGGGAGGAAGGGGCATGACCTGGGGCAGTGAACACACCATACAATATACTGGTGACGTGTTATGGAACCGTACACCGGAAACCTATATAATTTTATTAACCCATGTAACCCCCCAAAATTGAAATAAAAGCGGTTGAAGGCAGGAGAGCTGATGGGCTAGTTGTTCAAAGGAGTATAAACAGAAAGGAAGGGCGTCTTACGGAGTTTCGTTTTTTGTTCTATGAACAGATTACAATGTTTGAAGGTGAACGGGAAAGGCAGGCAGGCAGCAGGAGAGTGGATGCTTATGTAGCAGGGCCCTGAGGGGAGAGGGTTGCCCCCCCACCCCTGCAGAGAAAGGGGGCAGAGGTCCCTTCTGTGGTTGAAAAGCAAGTTTTTGATTAGACAAGGAGGGGTAAAGATATTGCATTAGGTGCACAAGGTGCAGATACTGAGGAAAATGTGAGTTTCCTGATCTTTAACAGTTGAAATAATTTAGAGGTTCATTTCACCTGCTGGGTGTTATAAGGGGAGTGGTTATCAGGATGGGGATTTGAGTCAAATTAAAAAGATTTCGAACAACCTTACAGGGAACACAAGTCCTTAGCTAAACTAAACTAATAAATGGTATTTGCCCTTAGAGTAGCTTTTACATGTATATTCCCCAAATTATCTCATTAAAATATTT